ACAGGTTTAGAGAAAACAGTCCAGGCTGAATAGTCTCTGCAGGTGAGGGCCAGAACCTGGAACTTCAGCAAACTCCCAGGCACCTGGCCAAGTAAGTGTCCATGCTCCCTGGAGCTGCGCTCCCTGTGCCCCTTCCTGCAGAGCCGGGCCCAGCTCGCTATGCACTGCCTCCGCCTGCCTCCAGCCTAAGCCTCCAGGGAGCACGGTGCTGACAGGCCTGCGGGACAAGCTGACACAGGCACAGGGGTGTCCTCACCTCATGGGACCACGAGACAAGCCCCACCGCGCCTCGCCTCCCAGGGCTGCCAGCAGCGATGCCTCTGCCTCACAGGCACCTGACATGCTGGAGCGTGGTTGGCTCTCCCACCAATAAGACTGGGAAGCCACCGTAACCGGTGTGGCTCAGTGGATAGAGCATCGGCCTGTGGACTGAAGGGTCCCAGGTTCGGTTCCGGTCAAGGGCATGTACCTTGGTTGCGAGCACATCCCCAGTAGGGGATGTGCAGGAGGCAGCTGATTGATGTTTCTCTTTCATCAATGTTTCTAACTCTCTATCCTTCTCCCTTACTTTCTGTAAAAAATCAACAGAATATATATATTTTTTTTAAAGTTTGAGAAATTGGCTCTGCAAACTGTCCCATCCAACACTGTCCCTTCGGCTTGTGCTGGGAGAGTGTAGAGGAGGGGACTTCTCCTCAAGACGGAAAAACAAAGGGGCTGTGCACGCGCCCCACTCGGGAGTCACTAGCACCCGCCACCCTCCCTGGTCCACCCCTGGTGTCTGCTGCCATGAGGGGGCGGGAGTGGTCCCGGGCCCTCCTCCTCTCCCCTCCCTAGCACCCAGTCAGGGCCTGTTCACCAGCTCCTGGTCAGTCCAACTCTCTAAGCAGCTTGGAGAACATTCCAGTTCCGGCACAGAGCTGGCTCATGAGGGCGAAGAGATGCCAGAGGAATTCAGGTCTGGCCGTGCAGGGCGGGCCCGGGGCTGAAGAGGAGGAGGACGCTCTATCCACTGAGCCAAACCGGTTAGGGAGGCTGGCCAGCTGCCAGCCGCAGAGGCCAGGGGCAGAGCTGCCTGTGGGGTGGGCAGGTGCCAGGTCAAGTTGCGGGGCTGTGTGGATTGTGCACCCGATGGGGCAGTACCTGCCCTCAAGCTGGTTCAGGAGCCCCCATTACCTTCAGGTCTGGAATGAGGGCTTTGGGGGAATCTTGGACAGGGCTGAGGGGTGTTTATTTTCCAGGTTAGGGGCCACAAGGGTTACTAGGGGGATCCAGCCTTGGAGTGGCTGCTGCTCTGGAGGCCTGGGCTCGGGGTTCCGTCCTGTGGGTGATGGGCACACCGCCTGGGTTGGGGTCCTGAGGCCTTGGTGTGTGGGCTCTGCCCGGCCTGGCAAGGAGGGGCCTCTGAGAGCTACAGATATCCCCAGATGCCCACCCTGCCCTGCCAGGACTGTAACTTAGTAAGGGCTGTGGGGGCCTGGGCCAGGCTACCTGCCTGTGAAATAGGATGAGCACGGCATTACCAACTTGGGCAATGTTTGGGAGGTGGAGAGGCTATGGGGAAGGCAGAAAGGGCCAGCTGGGGCCCCGTTAGCAGGGAGACCCCGTCAGCATGCCCTGTCCTTAGCCATCCTTCTGCCCTCACCATCCTGCCCTCACCGGCCCCCATGGTCCCTGCAGAGTGCCCTTGGCCGGGGCACAGCCAGAGGCAACCCCAGAAGTCTAGGGCTCTTAAACCTGCTAAGGCTGGCGAACAGTTCAAAGTGGTGGCTGGTGGAGGTAGCTGCTGGCTGCCACTCAAGGTTCCGGCCGCACTGCGGCCTGGCCTGCCAGCTCCTTGGGGCTCCCACTCCCCACACCGCCCATCTCCCCATTTTGTCCAGGAGAGTCTGAGGCCAGAGGGAGGAGCACACTAGCTCCGAGACGCCAGGCCACGGCAGCACCAGGCGGGGGGGAGGGGGGGAGGCGGCTCCCGGCTCTTCGCGGCTCTAGGGCTGGCTGAGGCCACGCCTGTGCCCGCACAGGTGCTGAGGGGCGTCTTTGTGGAGGCCTGGCCACGTGGTGGGTGGGAGGGCCTCCTCTGCCTTCCCCCTGGGCTCATGCACTTGCTGCCCGCCTGTGTTGGCCGCAGTGTTCACGTGTGTGAGCTCAGGCCTGCAGAGGACCAGGGACGGTGCTGTCCAGGCCCGGGCTGGCGCTGCATGCTTGGGCTGGGCAGGCAGCTGGAGGGAGGCGGCTGTCACCTGGAAGGTCCTGGGGGTCGGGGATGGGGCCTCCCAGGGGCAGGCCGTCCACCCGGAGGGGAGGGCAGGATTGGCAGCCAGTGGCTCCTGGCTCTGCTTAGGTCACACATACTCCTCACATCCTTTTCTGGGGGGGTCAGCCGAGTGGCCTGTCCCAGGTGGACCTGCAGGAGAGCAGGACCAAGGGCAATGCCTGGGGACATGGTCTCTTCTCCCCAAACCGGCCGACTGGGGCTTGTCCCCTGGAGGAGCAGAGGGAGCACCTAGGCCCGTGCCTTTGGGACACGAGCCGCCCTGACCGCAGTCTGGGCAGTGATGGGCCCAGTGCCCACCAAGGGGCGTTTAGAGGCGGCAGGAGGGCAGGAGCCTGCTCACCTGGGCCCCACAGCAGAGGGGCTGCCCAGCTGTGAAAGCAGTGCATGTTGTCTGGGTGCCCCCTTCCCCACCCCCACCCCCAGCTGGGGTGCCCCCTTCCCCACCCCCACCCCCAGCTGGGGTGCCCCCTTCCCCACCCCCACCCCCAGCTGGGGTGCCCCCTTCCCGACCCCCACCTCCAGCTGGGGTGCCCCCTTCCCCACCCCCACCCCCAGCTGGGGTTCCACCTTCCCCACTCCACCCCCAGCTGGGGTGCCCCCTTCCCCACCCCCACCCCCAGCTGGGGTTCCACCTTCCCCACTCCACCCACAGCTGGGGTGCCCCCTTCCCCACACCCACCCACCCGGGTGGGCCAGCGTCAGCTGCCTATACAGTTGGCCAACCCTTGTCCTCACTTTCCTTCTGGAAAGGTTTGGGGCCCTGTCCCATCTCCCTGAGTGCCTCTGGGCCTCCCCTCCGGCTCGGCTCCTCCGGAGAGAGGCGCTCCTGGCCCGCGCAGCCGGCCTGGCTGTGGGAGCGCGCAGAGCCAGGGAGCCACGGCTGCTGCTGCACCGCCACTTCTCCCTCGTTTCTGCCCCAGGACGAGAAGAACCAGATGATGACGACGAATATGTGGGTGAAGCAGGTGAGTGGGGTGGGGGCGCCACAGCCACTGCCCCATCCCTGCCCGCCCTCTCTGCTGCGTTCTCCCGCACGCAGGAGTGGCAGGACTATAGCTGTGCTGGGAGCCCGGGGACTATGAGAATGTGACTTCCATCCGCATCCCCTCCGAGCTCATCTGGAGCCGGACAGCGTGCTCTACAACCAGGGAGGGGGCTGGGCCAGCCAGAGGCGCGTGTCTGGACCCACCCACAGCAGCTGGGAGAGCGGGGCCTGGGGCCACCTCCTGGCTCCACCTCGGTCTCTCTCGCCAGGAGCAGGGCAAAGGGGCTGGCCGCCATGACTACAGGCCCCAGAGCTTCCCCCAGCCAATCTGGAGTCGTGTTCAGATCCCCTCTCCCCCCGCCCCACACGCTGCTCTTCCTTCCCGAAGTCTAGACGTGCAGGCTTCTCTCCAGGGCCTGCCGGTCCGGCTCTCGGGCCTGGTCCCCCCTTTCCTCTCCGCAGCCCAGGCCCAGGCCCAGGCCGCTCCTCACACTCCCACACGAACAGCCCAGCAAAATCTGGCAAGTGGACGTGTCCTGTGCTGGCGCCAGGGGTCCCAGGCACAGCGGAGGCAGGCACTGGGCTCAGACTGGTCCTCTCCCGGACCTCACCAGGTCCCTGTCCCGGGCAGCCTGCCATCCTCCCACGTCCCCGGCCTCTGCTGTGTCATCGCTGGATCCACGCCTGCAGCCAGGCTCGACAGTGGCTCTCCCGGTCCTGGTGCCACGGCCCTTTAGCACAGCTCCTCGTGTGGTGGTGGCCCCAGCCATCCGTTATTCCACTGCTCTTCAGAACCGGCACTTCGCTTCTGTTATGAATAGCAATGTAAATATCTGTGTTTTCAGAAGGTCTTAGGCTCCACAGCAGCGGTTCTCAACCTGTGGGTTGCACCGCTAGCAGGGTCACCTAAGACCATCGGAAAACACAGGTTTACAGTGCTATTCATAACAGAAGCAAAGTTACGGTTATGAAGTAGCAATGAGAACCACTGGTCTAAGACAAGCACTGAGTTCCCCCTCCCGCTCCCGTGTCCGTTCCTCCCCCCGCTGCCCATCTGAACTGAACCACAGCCCTGCCTCCCCACAGCCCTGCCGCAGCCTCCTGGCGCCGGGCCTGACCTACAAAGGGTCACTCTTTCACTAAGAACGTCACCGCTTGCAGAGACGGCCTGTGGGGCGGCTGGGAGAGGGTTTCGGGATTCATTAGTGAGGTTGGGGAGCGGAGTGGGCGGGCAAGCTCTCTGCTCTCCACAAGCCACTGGTCTGAACCATGATCCGGAGTCCTCCAGCCACCTGGGGTCCATGTTCAACTCCCCAAGACAGCCCCCCCACCCCCAGCCCTCTGATCCCGAGAATACACATCAGCTCAGCGTCCTGGGACCCAGGAGAGTGTCCTAGGACCCAGGAGAGTGTCCTAGGACTCAGGAGAGCATCCTGGGACCCTAGAAACCTCCATGTGCTCTGGGGTCTGTGCACGCCCCCCCAGGCTGCAGCCCAGGAGAGGGGGCTGCCACCCAAACCTTCCCCCCTGTGCTCCCTGCCGGGACCTGAGGGAGGCAGCGGGTGGACACCAGCTTCTCTGTGGGGCTGTGGTCAGTGCTGACTCTGGACATGGCCTGGAGCAAGGAGGGTGAGGAGCTGGTGGGCATGGCCTGGAGCAGGGAGGGTGAGGAGCTGGTGGGCATGGCCTGGAGCAGGAAGGGTGAGGAGCTGGTGGCTGTGGGCAGACGTGCCCGAGCACGGCTGCCTGTCCAGGCTGAGCTGACAGGTGAGGGAGGGCGCCTGTAGGAAGGGGGCACCCAGATGACACGCATTTCTGATGGCGGCGGTGCGTCCCCGGTTTGGAAGCCACGCGGTGAGGCTGCTGTCCACCCGAGGCTTTTCCACAGGGTCCCTTTGGGGCAGAGGCTGTCACGGTCCTGGGGCATCTCGGGGCCCGGAGCAGGAACCTGGACCCGCCAGGACCCCACATAGAAGGGCTTCGGCTGACGGCCGACCCAGTGCCACACCCTGCGGGCTGCGGGTGTGGGAGGGACACACTGCCGGCCGTGCTCACCTCTGCCAGGCACAGAGGAGCCAGCGGGGAGGTACCGGCCTGGCTGCGCGGTCACAGCCTTGCTCCTGCTGCCCTGCGAGGTGGCCCCATGTGCAGGGCGGGACCATGCAGTGCGGGGCTCACCTGCGCTGAGAGCAGCAGAGGCGTGCGGGGTGCATGGGGCCGAGGAGAGAGTTCCTGTGAGCGTTTCCGAGCCGAAGGCGGCAGGTCTGCCGAGGGGCTTGTGGAATGGCTGCAGCCACCTCCTGTCAGTGGGCCGGAATGCTGTGGTCAGAGTGGACAGCCGGGCCTCGTGGAGAAACTGAGGCTGAGAGAGTGGCTCAGGCCCGGGCCTAGACTCACGACCAGGTGTGTGCGTGGTGGGTGCCCTGGGGGGCAGGCGCCAGGGCCCCGTTCCCGGCTCTCACCCCTCTCTTCCTGCCAGCGCGGACGGGGCCTTCTGTCACCCACCTGACGAAGGCCCACCTGCTCCAAGACGGGCGGTGCCGCGGCCGCGGCCGCCGTCTACAGGCGCTCCTGCAGCATCGACGCCACCTCCTCCCCTTGGACCAGCAGAACGGCACCATGAAGTTCGAGTCCTGGACCCACGACAAGGCCAAGGTGGACCTGGTGAGCATGCACGGCCACGTGGACGGACTGGGCTTCCGGGAGAGCGGCGAGTGGGTCATCGTGGACGCCGTGGGCACCTACAGCACCAGGACGTACGAGGGCCGCGCCGAGGCGTACCCCGACACACCTACGCCTTCGTCACCCGGCGCCTGCGCTCCTCCACAGGGTCAGCCTGCTCGTCTCCGGCCTGCTGCTCTCCCGCCTCGTCCTCCTGGTCTTCGGCCTGCCCGCCCAGGGCGGCAGGAAGGTCACGCTCTGCATCTCCGTGCTGCTGGCGCTCACCGTCTTCCTGCTGCTCCTCACCGAGACCGTCCGTCCACCTCGCTGGTCGTCCCGCTCACCGGCGAGTACCTGCTCTTCGCCATGATCTTCGCCACGCTCTCCGTCGTCGTCACCGTCCTCGTGCTCAACGTGCACCACCGCTCCCCGCGCCCACGCCGTGCCCGCCCGGCGCGCCGCGTCTTCCTGGACCCGGTGCCGCGGCTGCTCTTCATGGAGCGGCCGCCCGCGGTCAGGGGCAGCTGCCGGCGGCTCGTCGAGTCCATGCACGACATGGCCGGTGCCCCTCGCTTCTGGCTGGAGCCTGAGGAGGAGCCCAGCTTTGTGAGCAGAGTCCAGAGCCAGGGCTCCCCGCCCACCTTGTCCTTCTGTGCCCCCCTGGACACGCCAGGCAAGCCCCAGCCGGCCTGCACGGGCCCTCAGACTGGGCGCCCGGTCTGCAGCCAGCAGAGGCCGAGAAAGCCAGCCCCTGCCCGTCGCCCAGCCCCTGCCGCCCCACCACCCGGGGGCTCGCCAAAGCCAGTCTCTGAGCGCCCACCTGCGTCCAGCCCCAGCAAGGCCCCGGAGGGCGGCGTCCGGTGCCGGTCTCGAAGCATCCAGTGCTGCGTCCCTCAGGCTCGGCCGCCTCCCAGCCGGTGGCCCGTGGCCAGCTCCCTTCACTCCTTGGCTTCCTGGGCTGAGCGCCCACCCCCAGAGCAGGCCTCTCCCTGCAGATGTAGGTGCAGGCAGCCGTCCAGGGGGTCCTCCAGCACAGCGCTCAGGGCCTCAGGGCCCCAGCGCCGAAGCGCCGCCCCGCGGCCGCCCCTGCCGCGGGCGCTGACCCGGGCCGCTGTGGGAGTCCGCACATCGCGGACCACCTGAGGGCAGTAAGCCCTGCCCTGGCCCAGCGGGATGCTGACGGAGAGAGTGGCTGGTGACAAAATCGAGAAACTGGACCCAACCCGGGCTGCCAGCTTTGGGCAAGCCCCACCCTGGCCTGCCCCCTCTTCCTGAGCCCCCGGACGCCAGGTCCCTGGGGTGGAGCTGGGCAGGCGGCCCAAGCAGCTTTGGAGCAGATCCTGGGACACCCCTCTAGGCTTTGAGACTGAGGCGCCGACGGGAGCACAGGGTGGCGCTGCGGTCCGTGCAGGCGGCTCATCCTCAGGATGGCCCCAGCGGAGAGGCAGGGAGCAGCGTGCCTCGCCACAGCGGCCCGCGGCCTTCCCGTTTGTAAGTGACCCTGCACGCAGGTGCCCGCGGAACAAACAGCCGGTTTAGGTTCGGTGCAAAACCGTCAGTCCACCTGATCATTTTAAAAATCAGAGAAAATGGCCATGAAGAGCCCATTTTTCCTCGACGCTCCACACGGGAGCTGAGCCCTGCCCTCGCCGGCCTGTCTCACCCACGAGGGCCCGATGCCGTGTCCTTCCCAGTCCCTCAGGCGCCGGGGCCTGCTGGGAGGCGAAGCCAGAGGTGGTTAGGCCGGGACCTCAGGGCGGCCGCTCCCCGCACAGCCACTCTGCCTCCGTGTCCCCGTCTGCAGACAAGACGGCGCCGCCCCTTCCCACCGGCCGCTCACGCAGTGCTGTGCTTGGCGTACTTGGCGCTGCTTCCGTGGCAGCCCGCCGGCTCTGCGTTCGGGATTCCCCCTGAGCCCTGGCCCCTCCCTCCTCCTGTGCTCACAGCACGGCTCTGCCCCACCCCGCAGCTTAAGGAACAGCCGAGGGGCCTCGGGCCCCCTGAACAGCTGACTCCTGAGCACCCGCCCAGGAGGGGAGGGCGGTCAGGCCTCAGCTGTCACTCAGACACAGGGCCCCTGTCAGGCCTTGTCCCTCAGGGTGCTCCTGGCCCTTGTCCTGCGGCCAGGGGGTGAAAGTCGCTCTTTCTGGGCTCGATTGGTCCATTAGGAAAATGGGGGTGCGCAGGATGGCCTCCAAGGCACCCCTCAGCTTAGCAAACCTGGAGCAAATTCCACTGTGAGGCAGCCTGGTGCTCCCCCACCCGGCCTCGGGCCCAGGCACCGTCTCCCACAGCAGCTGTGATGTGCCGCTGTGAGGGTGCTGCTCCCTCCGAACCCGGCTGCAGGGGCACGTGGCTCTTCAGCTCCCTCCGCGGCCGCACCCGGCGGCCTCGGGCTGTCAGCAGAGCGCCGGGTTCTGGGGGGTCCTTGCCGCCTGTGAGATGCGTGTCTGCGTTGCAGGGAAGGAGGACTGGCCGTGGTCACCGACCGCATCTTCCTCTGGCTGTTCGTCTTCGTCTGCCTGCTGGGCACCGCCGGCCTCTTCCTGCCGCCCGGCTGGCCGGCACCATCTGGGGCCCCTGCACCCGAGGCCCTCCGCACTGTACCGGGCCACGCACCCACAGACTGTCCCCTTCTGCCTGCTGCCTCCCGGGGAGGCTCAGGCTGGGACTTGCCCAGGAGGCAGCGGCCGGGAAGGCTTGTTCTCACTGACGGTGGCGGCGCTGCCTGAGCCGCAGCCAGGGCCGCTCGCCTCCCAGGTCCCAGCCGCCCAACCCCGGGCCACGCCCTTGGCCTTCTCAGCGCTGCCTCCTCCCTGCGGGATCCCGAGGCCCCTGCTGTCCCCCGGGTGTGGGGACACCACCTGCCCTTGGTCCTTGGGCCTCTCTTTGACCCCACAGAGGCCAGCCACAGCCATGAGAGTCTCTCTTGCCAGGTGGGCCTAAGCAGGGGTTTTATTATCTTATTTTAAAATATATTTATATTGATTTCAGAGAGGAAGGTAGAGGGAGAGAGAGATAGAAACATCAGTGATGAGAGAGAATCATTAACTGCCTGCCTCCTGAACACTCGCATTGGGGATCAAACCTGCAAGCCAGGCATGTGCCCTTGACTGGGATTGAGCCTGGGACCCTTTAGTACGCAGGCCGATGCTTTATCCACTGAGCCACACCAGCTAGGATTCTTTTTATTTAAAAAGAAAAATATGTTTTATTGACTTTTTTACAGAGAGAAAGAGAGAGGGATAGAGAGTTAGAAGCATCAATGAGAGAGAATCATCGATCAGCTGCCTCTTGCACACCCACTACTGGGGATGTGCCCACAACCCAGGTACATGCCCTTGACCGGAATCAAACCTGAGACCTTTCAGTCCACAGGCCGATGCTCTATCCACTGAGTCAAACAGGTTTTGGCTTGACTTGTTTTGATGAATTCATGGAAACCTAAGTTTTGTGCCCAGGGGCCTTGGGAAGTGGAGCTGTTAGACCTGGTCCTGCTTGGAGGAGATTGGGGGGCAGGACCCCAGAGGGAGAGACTTCGGACTTGGCGAGTTCAGATGTTTGCCTTCCCAGGGTCCCGGGGGATCCCGGGCAAGCTCTTTGCAGGGGTCATCGGTCCCCATGGCACTGGAGTTTGTGAGGACCTCAGAGTGTGGCCCAGGGGAACCTCCACAGGCCTCCTGCCCTGCACTCCTCTCTCCAACAGCGGGAGGCCAGCTCCGCCAAAGGGCCTCTCTCCCAGTGCAGAGCCCTCTGGCCAGAGGCGGAGGGGCTGCCCCAGAAGGAAGGTCCTGGGCGCCTAGTCTCACCCCAGGGCAGAGTGCTGGGTGCCACCCCGTGTCCTCCTGACCCTGGCACCAGGGGCTGGGTGCTGTGATGATTTGGAATCCTCAGTCTCCAAGTAGAGGTGGCAAGAACACCGTGCCCCCTCCTGGGTAGCGGCAGGAGGAGGCAGCTGTCCCTGCTGTCCATGGTCCAGTCCCTTCTGCAGGGCAGCCACGGGCAGGGCAGCGGCACCCCGCCTGGCCAGGGCCTGGGTCGCCAGGGCCTTGGGAGCAGTGAGTGAACAATTCAGTGAAGTTTGGAGCCGAGTGGGCCTCGTTGTGGCAGAGGCCAGATTCCCTGGCGGCAGCTGGAGGGGCTGCACCCTCACCCGGCACTGAGACAGGGACCTGACTTGGGCCAGGGGTCCTCTTCCTGAGAGGGGTGCAGACCCCAGAGTCTAAGTCCCGGTGCTCTCTCCTCCCGGCCCTGGGCCCTGCAGGCCCTGCTGCCCGGCTCTGCTCTGCACCTGCTTCCTGGGGCGCCGAGCATCATCCCAGGACCCTGGTCCAGTTCACCCAGCACAAGTGGGCCTGCGCGGCGGGGACACCAGGCCCGGGGCATCAGGGGGTGGATTCAGGTGTGAGCACCTCCGTCTTCACATGAGCAGACTCGGCCGCCAGATGCACGGGCCCAGCACCGCCCTGGCGCCGGGCCCCCTGAAGATGTGCTTTTCTGGGTCTCCAGGGAGACCTCGTACAAAGCTGCTGGAACTGGACAAAGGTGTCAGGAATAATCGAGCGGCATAGTCTCACCACAGCAAACTGGCCAGCCCCGATCTGCCTCGGCGTGTTTCTGTCATGTAGGCTTACACAGGGAAGTGCATGAGCTAAGCCCTCGAGTGGGTGAGTTTTCCTAAAATTTGACACCGAGGACCTAGGGCACCATTCCACACGCAGGACGCCCCCCTCCCCCTGCCCCCCAGCAGTGCCCTCCTGCCCCCAACCTGGGCTTCTTCGCCAGCAAGTTTCTGCTCCTGAACTTGGGTAGGGGCCCTCCTTGCTGCTTCCCTCCTCGTGCTGAGACTCACCTGGCCCTGTCTCGTCCTCAGACAGTCCTGTTCCAGCTGTGAGCAGAGTTCTTCCCCTGAATACACGAACCGCCGTCCGGTCTCCGCTGTCAGACTCGCGCGCTGTCGTCTTCGTGGATTTCCTCTCGGCATCACCATGTTTTTGTGATGTTCTGGCATCTTGGGGCCTTACGGAGCCAGGAGTGGTGGACACTGCCCCATCCAGGGCCCTGCTCCCCCGCCCCTCCCCTCATCTCACTCACACACCAGGCCAGCATTTCCCATCCTTGATCACAGGGATGACAAGGAGGGACGGCCCAGGGCCCGGAGGCCCGCTGGGACTGTCCTAGCTTGTCACTCCTGAGCTGTGTGCCTGGCTGCCTGGCCCTCCCCCCGCCTCCGACCAAGGCCCGAGCTCCCCCACACAGTGCGGCACACCCCTGCTCTCTGGAAATTAAGTAACGGGTTCTCTTCTCACGGCACTGGCCCCTTCGGGACATCCCTCACCACCTTTGGGAGACACGATGGCCCGGCCTGTGTAGCTCAGGTGTTAGAGCGTTGGCCCGCACACCCAAGGTTAGCCGGTTTGGTCTGGTCAAGGGCATGTGCCTCAGCTGCAGGTTCAATCCCTGGCTCCAGTCAGGGTGCATGTGGGAGGCACCCAGTTCATGCGTTTCTCTCACATCCGTGTTTCTCTCTCTCCCCTTCCCTCCCTCCTTCCACTCTCTAAAATCCAAGGAAGAAAAAAGAGAGAGAAGTCGTGATGGGACCCAGAGCACTCACAGGTACACACCTGGGGGTCCCTAGGTCACGGGGTGCGGAGGCCTCCCCAGAAGCGGCTGCCGCTTCGTGGCGGCTGGCAGTTGGCTCGTTGTTCGCGTGTGGCTTTAGCGGGTGTAAGTCCCCTGTGTGCTCTGGGCCCAAGGCCTGTGTGTGTCCCCCGGGGGCGCCTCTCCCTCTGCGTGAGGATATTTTCACCGACTGTGTCTCCAAGGGAAGCTTTAATTCTGAGGGGGCACTGTCATTCTGAGGGGGCACTGTGGCTGTCTTGGGGTGCACCTGCCCTGCCTTCCAGCATCGGGACGTTTACAGCTGTCCCATGTCGTTAGGGTGACCATGCTTTTCTTTTTTCGTTGATCCTCACCCCAAAGATTTTTTTAGAAGAGGGTGGGAGGGCGGGGAGGAGAAGAGAGAGCAATGATGTGAGAGAGACACGTTGATTGGTTGCCTTCCACATGCACCCCGACTGGGGCTAGGGATCAAACCTGCGGCCCAGGTGCATGCCCTTGATTGGGAATCGAACCTGAGACCCTTGCAGGGGGTGCTCTAACCACTGAGCACGCTAGCCAGGGCTCCCATTTTTCTAATTAAGTTTTGTGCCTGGTGTAGACAAGGGCAGGGCCTCAATGTTTCTGGTTCGAACCTCTAGCAGTTTCGAACCATTTGTTGAAAACACGGTCCTTCCCCAGTAAGATGCCTGGCCACGTGACCCCTGATCTGCTTCCTGGTTTCTCGCGTGTTGGGTCCTCTGGCCCGTGGGAGCAGAAGTGCCCCGGTTTCTGACACATTGGAGACACCCTCCCCCCGGTCAGCCGTGCCGGGGCCTCACGCTGCCTGTCCCTCGGCCCTCCCTCGGGCCCAGGCCGCTCCGGGCCTGAGGCGGTGCCTCTGCTGATAGGAGACCCCAACAAGGCCGGTGTGCTGCCGCTCGGCGTGCTGTGGCCCGGAACAATCTAGAATTTCGGGCTGCTGCGGCGCCGGTCTTCGGAGGGCTGGGCTCTTCGGAGCAGCTGTGCTTCCTGCGTGTCGGGTCCCGTGTGACTCCGTCCATCCTTCCTTCCTGCGGAACGCCCCTCGGGCCCCTCCTTGGACTGGGCCTCGTCACGCAGGGAGGGTTTTACGGGGCAAAGTCAGTGCTTTCCTTCAACCCCTCTGCCTCTGCCGTCCGGGGCTGTCATTGTGTGGGGTTTAAAGTCTGTTCCTCTGGCCTACGTCTTGTGTGAATGAATCTACATTTAAAAAACCAACCCCGTTTGGCCTTTTGATCTGAGATCATAAACTTCCTCTAATTCTCAAATCTTAAAAATCTTAAAAAAAAAAAAAAAAAAAAAAAAAAGGACCTTTTCAGCACTCCCACTGGCCTGCGGGCCACCGTCTGGGCTGTGCTCCGTGCTCCGTCTCCGGGCGGCCCTGCTGACCGACAGCCCCCGCTGTGCCTGGTCACTCGGCCACCGGCTGGCTGTTCTCCCGATTTGTGTTCTGCACCTCATTTCCCGGTCTTCATGCCATTGATGCCACCTCGCAGGAGGTCGGGCTGTGAGGACTGTCCTCTCCCGCCCCGCTGTGCTCGCGGTGTTACCCCTTCCCCGGGGACTCCTCTCCCAGGCCTCAGGAGCACTTCGCACCAGGAGGCGTGTGAGAGCATGTGCACACATGTGCGTGTTAGCAGTGGCAGGGTGCATGGGAGGGTGTGCGCATGTGCAGGTTTGTGCTGCGATGGCTTCACGAGGACCCCTGTGCAGCGCCCCCCTCGCCCAGAAGGGGGGGTCCTGGGCCTGGGGCGCAGCAGAGGTCCTATGCCCACTCCAGCCTCGTTCCCAGGATGCTAGCTCCTCTTGGTGACAAGAGGCATCCCAGCCCTGGCCTGTTCCCCAGTGGTTAGAGCATCCGTCCCAGCACCAAAGGGTCTCTGGTTAGATTCCTGGTCAAGGGCATGTATCTGGGTTGCAGGTTTGAATCCCAACCCCAATCCAGGGTGTGAGAGAGGAAACCAACTGATCTCTCTCTCTCTCTCTCTCTCTCTCTCTCCACACACACGCACTCCTTCCCTCTATTCTACTCGCTCTGAAAATCAATGGACAGAATATCCGCAGGTGATTAAATAAAATCAAGGTGCTGCCTCCGTGACCAAACACCCCACTGGCTCAGGGTCTTCTGGCCTCCCTCTCTCTGCACCCACACCCTCCGGCCTCGGGATGCAGTGCTGGGACGAGCCAGGCCACCTTCACCGCCAGGGAAGCCAACCCTCTGGCTTCCACTCGCTTCCCAGATGGCGGACTCACACTCTGCCCGTGAACACCAGACTCACCCGTCTCCTCCCCCACACCTGCTCCTCTCCTCCACCGCTGCTGGAGGCCCGGCCCGGCCTGTTCTTGGGGTACCCCCAACCAGTGGCTTAGCCAGCAGCCAGCCCCAAATCTGCCCCCCCCCCCCCCCGCCAGCTCCTCTCAGTGAGCAGCAGGAGAGTCCCCCAAGCTGGCTCTCAGGCGGGAGCCCGTGGCGCCCAGTGCTCCTCGGGGAACCCCGACTCCCCGAGCCCGGAGGAGCACCCCGCTGACCGATCCTGGCCTGGGCCGGCCTCTGCCGTGCCAGTCCTGCCTGGCTGGCCCAGCCTCCGGCCTCGGGGCTGTGCCCCCGCTGGAGCCTCCTACCATCTCACACCGCGCTGGGGCCTGCCTCTGCCCCACGGTCCCCGTGGAAGCCCGTGGCCTCTGCATGAAGGAACCCCACCCAAATTCTGCCTGGTGTTCAGAAAACCACTGGGTGTGGAGTCACCGCAGCTGGTGAGGGCTCCGGTGAGAGGCGTGCCGGGAGACTTCGGGCTGCTGAGACGCCCGGACAGCCTCCCGGCCGAGCCCCATGGCACATGCCTCTGAGGGCGGCTGGGCATGTTCTGAAGCCCACCCTGCCCGGGGACCCAGCGTGTAGCCCGGCCCGCAGCACTGAGCCTGAGGGAAGGGGGGGCTGCCTGCCTCGAGGGAAGGGGGGCCCCAAGGCGACAGGGAGACCGTGGGGGAAGGTGGGAGTCTGACTCGATTAATGGATGCACACGCTCCCATAAGAGGTTTATGTGGCGGAGGGAACAGCACAGAGAGAAGCCACCTCCTGCCATGCGCCCGCCTCGGCTGCTCCCACTCTCCGGCTCCTCTGAGACTGCAGGGCAGAGGCGAGGTCACTCCAGGCGGCCTGGCACGAGGGGAGAGGAGACCTGCAGGTCTGGGGGCGCAAGGGACAGCTGACCCGGTCAGCCCGCCAGCCCCTGTCCGGTGAGCCCATCTGGCTGTGAGCAGGGCAGAAACGAGGGGAGCCCTCTGCAGGACCCTGCCCTCGGCCAGTGCTCCCCGTCCCCACTGCGCCTGCCTGGCCCAGGTGTCCTCCCGGTGCACACCCGCCCCCTGAGGCGGCCCCCTGGCCCCCCAAGCCCCGCACACCTCCGGTACCTCCTGTCCCCAGGCCGGGCTCCCCTGCTCCTCCCAGGGCTCCTGGAGCCGGGCTCCCCTCTGGCTGAGGGCTGCCCGCCTGAGCCACGGCTGCGGCTGCGGCTGCGGCTGCGCCTGAGGAGGAGGGCGGCTGAGACAGGCCCGCAGGGGCAGTGCGGCCGTCTCTGGACCCTCTGCGACCAGAGGAAGGTGAGCGCCCGGCAAGGCTGGAAGCTGGGCGGGTCCCTGCGTCCCAGCAGCTCAATCGTGGGCTCAGTGGCTGAGGTTTAGGGTGAGTTGGGGCCGGAGGGGGAGGCGGGGTGGGGTCTTCATGAGAGCGCCTGCCAGCCTGGTCTGGGCCCTGGTGGGCAGAACCCCCTCCCCTCCCCCTTCCCCCCAACCCTCCCCATGGAGGCCCCGGGCTCCTGACCCTCAGTCCCTCAATCAGCCCCTCCACTCAGTGCCCAAGCCAGCAGGCTCCGCAGCCCCAGCGGACGGGAGGGGGTGGGAGGTGCGGGAGAGGCGGAGAGGGGACGGAAGGGCAACGGTGGCCTGAGCTTGGACTTCCTGGGAGAATTGGGGAGGGGCCACTTTGAGGCAGGCCCTGTGTCTCCCCGCCCAGCCAGCCCCAGGACACCAGGGTGGGGGAGCCAGTACCTCTGTCTTCAGGGTGGAAGCCACCAGTCCCCGCTTCTCGGGGGGGCTGGGCCTCCCTGGGGGTGACCAGGGGCCCAGGGGCCTCCAGGACTGGCATGGCGGGCCTGGAACTCTTGTGGAGGGAGGAGTCACACTTCAGCACGTGCGCTGCGGGGGGCAGGGAGTGAGGGGCTGTGGAGTGGGGAGTCCCCCGCCGCCCAGGGCTTCCCGGTGCCGTCCAGAGAGTGGCCAGGTAGGGCTGGCTGCGGAGATGGGGTGCGGACTGCTGGGCGTGGGGCAGGGACACGGGGCACTGAAGGCTCGGGGTCCTCACTCTGGATGGCGGACTCGCAGGCGTGGCTCACAAGCTGGTAGATGGCGGCCAAGGACGGCGGCTCGCCCTGAGGAAGAGCCACAGCGGTGACCGGGCTGCGGCCAGGGCACGGCGCTGCTGTCTCCATGCACAGGCAGCGCCTGGGCCGACCCCGCTCACTTACCTTCTCTCCTCGCTCCCCCTTGGGCCCAGGCAGGCCCTGGGTGCGAGGAAAAGGAGAGAAGTAAGCAGGGAGGAGCTGGACCGGCCTCCCGCCCTCAGGCTGTGGGGAGGGAGACCGGGCATTCAGGCCCGCGCAGGGGGGTCAGAGGCGAAAATCCCCCGTGGGCAAGAGACCTGCTTCTCGGATGGGTTCCGTGCCCACTGCTGGGACCCACCCCAAGGAGGACAGCCAGGCCTGCACGCAGCACATCCCTGTCCCCGCCGCCTGCTTCCCCTGCCCCATCTTCCTGGCTCCCAGGAAACTGCTGGAACCCCATCCCTCCCGGCCCCCTGGAGCCCACAGGCCCAGGACCTGCCCCCACCTGTCTGACTTGGGCCTGGCAGGGTTACCCCACTTTCCTTGCTGCAGACCAGCCCCAGCATCCCTGCCTGCACAGGCCTCACTTCGCACAGGTGTGGGTGCAGGCCCCTGAGCATCAGCGACACTGAGTGTGCACCCCCCCACACACACACACACGCGCGCGCGCGCGCACACTGTTGAGCTGTCCAGGTGTGGAGAGGACTTACCGTGGGCCCCACAGTCCCTGGGGCTCCTCGCTCCCCACTGGTGCCCCTGGCTCCCGCCATGCCTGGGTAGCCCTGCCGAGATGCAGAGGTCCAGACTGCAGCCCAGCAAGTCTGGCCCCTCCTCCCTCTAGCCCGGGCCTGGCCATTCGGGCCCCCACAGTCCTGCACCCAGACCAGACCCCGTGGTTTGTCCCGGTCCACAGGCGTGGCCCTGCGGGCTGTGCCTCACGCCCGCCTCAGCTGGACAGCTCGGCACACAGCCCAGGACCCTGGGGCCGCATCCCCAGCCAGGCCCTCTGGGGGCGCTGGCGTCTCCCTGCCATGTGGAATTGGGGTGCAGGCATGGCTGGGGCTGCCCAGTGGGGTGAGAAAGCCCCTCCAGCAGCCCTCCAGGGCACAGGTCACTGCACGCCCAGCAGGGCCCAGGGAGGGCTGGCCCCGCAGAGCGAGGACCCCCAGGTCACCTCCTGGCGGTGCCCACGCTCAGTTCAGCCAAGGAACCGGGGGTGTGGGTAGGGATGGGCAGTGTTGGGCTCATGGGGGAGGTGGTGCCTACCCTGGGCCCAGGGGGTCCGGGCAGGCCAGCGGTGCCCTCCAGGCCTCTCATGCCCTGATGGCAAAGGAAGGGCGGGTTGGAGGGGGACTCGGACCCCACACATCCCTCCCACGGCAGCCCACACCTGAGAAGGGCTGCATGCTTGTGCCTCCCTTTGAGAGCAGTGAGCTGGCCAAGGTCCGGCCTGAGCCCACCCTGCATGGTTGGCGTTCCCTCCCCACGGCCAGGCCCTGGGTGCGGCAGGATGGACGGGAGTGGTGAGAGAGGGGACCCCCCCCCCCCCAGCATCCACCTCAGGAGCCTCCCCACGGGCTTCTCTCCCACCTTTGGACCCTGGAGGCCAGCCTCCCCGGGGTCGCCCTGGCGGCCGGGGTGACCCTGGAAGAGAGCAAAGGTGCTGGCAAGGCGGGGCCAAGGCTGACCCAGAGCAGGCCCTGTCCCCAAGACCCTCCCACCCACTACCTGCAGGCCCGGGAGTCCACGGTCCCCCTTCTCTCCTTTGACCCCTGGCGGACCCTGGAGGGGAGATATAGACAGAGCCCAGGCAGAGGCTGAGGGGCCTGCGGGCAGTGCGGTGAGGCCGTGGAGAAGGGTAGGGAGGCAGCACCTACCACAGGTCCCTGGACAGTTCGGCCCTGGGTCCCTGGTGACCCCTGCTGACCTCCAGGACCTTCGGGTCCGGTCTGTCCAGGTGGCCCGGGCTCTCCCTGGAGACACAGGTGAGAGGGCTCCAGGCTGTGCCTGCAGCTCCCCTGGTCCCGGGTCTGCAGCACCCTGCCTCTAGCCGGCCGTGGCAGCCAGACCAGGTCCCCCTGCCTCTAGCCGGCTGTGGCAGCCAGACCAGGTCCCCCTGCCTCTAGCCGGCCGTGGCAGCCAGACCAGGTCCACAGAGGTCTTCAACCACGGCCACTCCTGGGGTTCCTGCTGCAACCCCATTCCACAGCCGAGAATGGCCTGGGCCACTTCTTCAGGGCCCAGAGATGGGGAGCAAAGCGCCCCCAAACACCAGGACACCTCACTACAATGTAAGCCTGACCTCTAAGGGGCAGACACCCACACTCTTTAAACTGAGAATGCATGGGGAAATGCTTTTAAATCATTTTTTGTGAATTAAGCATATCAATGCACCAAACTCCATACAGAAGAAAACAATCTTCTCCGAGTGTAAGTGTGAAAATCAGCGACCCTGGGACACGCCGTCTCCGCGGGCTGCCACTCCCAAGCCGCGCAGAGCGGACCCCTTCCCTCACGCTGGCAGCCGGGACCCGGTGACAGGCACTGCGCGTGGCCCTGAGGGGGAGCCCGCCTGGGGGGCACCTCGCTCCTGGGTGGAGCCCTTCGGCTGGTGTCGGACCAGTGAGCTCCCTCCTGAGCTGTGCAGGTGTTGGGGTCCCCCCCGGAAGGTAGGATCCAGGCTCCCCGGGACTCCCGGCCACTTACCCTGGGCCCGGGGAAGCCCTGCTGTCCTGAGGCTCCATTCCTGCCAGGGGGGCCCTGCAGGGGCACAGGCAGGGCTGAGCCAGCGTGGCCCTGGGTTCCAGTCCCGCCCGCGGGAAAGGGAGGGGCTTCCATGCCACTGGCCACAGTGCAGCCTCGGGCAGGCGGCCTCTCTGGGGAGGGCTGCACCGAGGGCACAGCCAGCGCTCACACACCTGCCTTCCCACTGCAGGGCGCAGGGGGCCGGGCCTGCCCCAGGTGGGGGTCACGGCCCTGCTGCAGGCCGGGTGGTCCTGGGACTCACCCCAGTCCAGGAAGATGGGCGTGCTGGGTCGCACACAGAGGAGCGGAGGCTGGCTGGGCAGGGGGCAGGGCAGGAAGGAGCTGGCCAGAGGGTGACAGGCAGCAGGGAGCCGTGTTCAGTGCACCCAGTGCAGCAGGCCTGGGGAAGACTGCTGGGTCCAGGCTCCCAGCTTCGGGGTGTGGAAGGAGCCACCACCTGCCAGTGGCAGCGCTTCCAGGGAGGGGCTGCTGGACTCACTGGAGGCCCTTGGGGTCCCGGAGGCCCAGGTGTCTGCGAGGAGCAGGAGCAGGAGCAGGCGGGAGGGAAGGCAGGGCAGGCCTCTCCATCCTTCTGGAAGAAAGGAGCCCATCGGTAAAGGGACCCTCTCCCGGCTCTTGTCTGACACCTGGAGGCGGGGGTGAGGGTGGGGACCTGATCCTGGGGGCTGAGCCCCGGCTGCCCAGCACACGCCTCACGGCCACGCAGGCCCAGCACGGCCAAGCCGGCAGGGCGCCCAGGGGCGTCACAGAAGAGGGGAGTGGTCCTGAGGGCTGGGTTTCCACCACCCTACACCTGGGACCTTCCTGGCCAGCTCCAGCCTGCTTTGTCACCAGGGCCTCCAAGATGCTCCCCAGAAGCCGCCTCCTTCAGGAAGCCTGCCCAGATCTCTCCCAGCACCTTGATGACCCGAACAGCCAGCCTACCCCAGGCTGTGGCGCTTGCCCACCTACCAACGCAGGGAGCTCGCAGCACCTGTCCTCCTCTGCCCAGGTGTCACCGCACACGATCTGCAGCAGCTGCAGCTGGAGCTAAATCAGGGCAGAGCTCGGTTGGCCAGATGTGGCCCAGGGCGGGAGGGGCTGGGGATCTGCTGGCCCCTGAGTGGCCAGCAGGACGAAGCCAAGGCTCACCGCAGCCGAGCTGCTCCGGGGGCCCCGGGCCAGGGCCAGCCTCCCCAGCGTGACGAAGCCGGCGGCAGGAGGGCTGCCCACCGCTCCGATGGGCCTCTCGGCCACCTTCCTGCAGTCCACATAGAGCCGGACCCTGGAGCGTCCCACGGCCACGTGCACCTGCGAGACACCACGGAGGTTCTCACTGGGCCCGCCTCCCCCGAGGCCCTGGGCCCCACCCACTGCGGGCCTGAGCCCCCTCTGGGGGCGGATGAAGCGCACCCGCTCGGGCCCTGCTAGGACTTGCAGGAGCGGAGAAAAAGGCTGGGTGCTCTCCAACCAAATGAAGGGTGGGCTACAGGGTGTTGGGGCGAGGGCCGAGGCGGCTCCCCAGCAAGGATGGGGGCGCGTCCTGAGGGCCCGGGGGAGTTGCTCCAGAACTTGGGGTGGGGTGCATTGGAGGTTCTTGGGCGGCAGAGGCACAGGCTTTGTCTGCCTGGAACCTTCCAGGACCTTGTGGAAGCTCCCGAAGAATATCCTCCTCACTTCGGGCAGGTCAAAGGTCACCTCCTGCAAGGCCGCCCCGGGGTCGTGGCTGAAGTAGGTCAGGGACTTTCTGCCTGCTGCGGGGCAGGTAGGAGCGTGTGAGACCCCACCCACCACGCAGGGGCGGTGGCCCAGGCCAGCGCGGGGAGCAGCCCCCTCCTGATGGTCGGGAGGACCTCGCTCAGGTCCGCAGCCCGGGCCCCGCCGCCCTCTCGACTGACCGTCCAGCAGGACCCCGAGGACAGGGCGGAAGTCCTCAGCTGTCATCTGCCACAGCGCGAAGGCCTCACGGGGCGTGTCGGGGAGGAGGCGCAGGAGGAAGACGACGGTGTGCTCGGGCGGGAGGGCCGGGTGGATGTCGCTGTGGGGGCACCACAGGCCTGAGAGGGCTGGGGCCTGGAGGGACCACGCTGTTCCCCGGGGCCCAGACCCACGGGACCAAGATCTCTCCTGACTCAGTTTCCCCATGCGTAACAGGGTGTGAGGAACAGAACTCCCTCCCGGGCCGTTGGGAGATTCAACCAGAGGCGCCCTGAGGGCGAGGCACCGCCCTCTGCCCTGCCCAGGCCGAAGGCCGCTCCATCCCAGCCAGCATCGTGGTGCCATGCCACACCCAGGCCACACACCGCCTGCTCGCCCACCTGGCTCGGCGTGTCAGCTGAGCGTCTCTGAAGAGCGTGAAGGTCCTGGTGGAGCCAAATGCAGAGGGCTCCATGGCCACCCCGCGGATGGAGGCGTACTCCCTCTCCACCAGCCCGAAGGCCACCATGAGGTCAAAGCCTGGGGCCACGGGAGGCGCGGACGGGCAGGCGGGACGGAGAAAGAATAGCAGGTGTCAGGTGCAGGGCAGGGGAGCCAAGAGGACACCCAAGGCCAAGAGCTCAGCGCCGAGAGGGGGTGTGCCCACCTGCCTCCTGCTGCCATCCCGGCCTCCCGGGCGCTGTCCGGCCCGCCCACAGCCACGGGGGCCCAGCAGAGTCTCACCACCCACCAGCTCCGGCCACTCCTCCACTGCTGAGCGCACCAAGTGGGGGGGACGCCCACCCACTGGGTGCTCAGAGCCTGGCGGGAGCACAGGAGTGACCGGCCCACCTGCCCCACTTCCGGCCACAGGCGGGCCTGCCTGCTTCGGGTGTGAGCGGCACAGCCTCGCTGCTCACTCTCAAGAGACCAGAGCCCAGCTGACAGCCACGGGCCAGCTGTGGAGGCCTCCCCGCCGGGGGCGGGGCAGCTCCTCTCCCCCCAGAGCTTGTCTGCAGCGGCTCAGGGGCGGCTCAGGGCCCAGGGCACTGTGAACCCTCTGTGATAGTGTGAGCCTGATGCATGGTGCCCTCCACGGTCCCCAGCCCTTTCCTAGGGGGCCCGAGAGGAGGGGGGACAGCTGGAGGTGGAGAGCTGGAGCGCCTGTCTCAGGGCAGGACCCACCTGCAAGGGAGCCATCTGGGTGGAGGGCTGGGCAGGCTGCGGAGAGGTGACAGGGAGTCAGGGTCAGTGGGGCGGGGCCCCAGGCAGTGGGCCTGCCCTGCGGCCTGGAGCCCAACTGCTGCCCCTCCTCTCGCAGGCCCGTGGTGGGCCTGTCCCGCGCCTCAGGGAAGGGAGGGACGGGGTACTTCCACCCCGAAGGCAGCACTCCCCATGGTGCTCCCACCGACAGCATCAGCCACCCCGATGTCCCCAGTGACAGGGCCAGGGAGACGCCTGGTGGGCGGACACGCCCACCGGGGTGCTCGCCGTCCAGGCGGCGCAGGTGCTGTCCACGGCCAGGTGCTCGGAGTGTTCTGGGGCGTCACGGGTGCTGAGTGCAGCAGCTGTCCACTGAGCAGTGAGCCCCCGACCCGAGAGACAGTCAAGCCAAAACTAGAGGAGCCATGGAGGACACAGGGAAGCTGAGGGACCAGGCTGGCCTGCGGGCCTGGCCTGCAGGGTGGGCCCGGGAACACTGGCACTGCGTCCAGGAGCTGGTGCCCCTCCAGCCATCTGCCACAGCCTGTGCGCCTGCCCGCCCGCCCACCCGCCCACCTGTCTGCGAGTGGCCCTGTGGGCAGATGGCTGGCCTGACCTCAGGACAGATACGGGCAAGGACACGGTCCCCACTCTGGGCCTTGTGGATGAGGGGCCGGCCAACCAGCCGGAGCTCTGCAGCGAAGAAGTCTTCCCGCAAAAACCCGATTCCCGTCTGCTGTGGCAGCGGCCCCGCAGTTCTGGGCGCTGAGGGCTGCCCGGACCTGAGGTTGCGTGCCCACTCACCCGTGCGGCCTGTAGCAGTCACTGCCACACTCTCCCCTGCTCCGTACACCGCGGAGACCAGGACCCTGTACTCGGTAGCTGCCAGCAGGTCAGGGAGCGTCACATGGCTCCTGGGTCCTGGAACAGAGACCTGGGGGCACAGCCCCTGAGCCACCTGCCACCCGGGCACCTCAGCTCCTTGGCTGTGTCTCGCCACGGAAGCACGCCTCCCCCTGCCACCAGGCCCCAGGCTCCCGGCTCCACCAAGACTCACTGATTTCTCTGGTCCAGAGCCCGAGGCCAGCGTGTACGTGAGCCGGTAGTGGAGGACGTGGCCAGTGGGGGGCGTCCAGCTGACCAGTAGGCTGTTTGGTGACTCAGAAGTCAGGGTCAGGTTGGAGGGTGGGCTCCAGCTGACTGAAGGGCAATGGGGGTTCACAAGGGCTGGACCAAAAGGCTCCCACACGCTTTGTGGCATGACCTCCCACACCCCCCACGCCTCCCTACTGCCCCATAGCCCCATCCCTCACCTCCCCACCTCCCTACTGCCCATAGCCCCACCCTCTCCCCTCCCCATCACCCCACCCCCACCTCCCTACTGCCCATAGCCCCTCTCACCTCCCCTACATCCCACCTCCCCACCTCCCTACTGCCCATAGCCCCACCCCCGCCCCTCCCCATCACCCCACCCCTCACCTCCCCACCTCCCTACTGCCCATAGCCCCACCCCCGCCCCTCCCCATCACCCCACCCCCCACCTCCCTACTGCCCATAGCCCCCCTCACCTCCCCTTTACCCCACCCCCTACCTCCCTACTGCCCATAGTCCCCCTCACCTCCCCATCACCCCATCCCCCACCTCCCTACTGCCCCATAGCCCCCCTCACCTCCCCTACATCCCACCCTTCACCTCCCTACTGCCCATAGCCCCCCTCACCTACCCTACATCCCACCCCCCACCTCCCTACTGCCCATAGCCCCTCTCACCTCCCCATCACTCCACCCCCACCTCCCTACTGCCCATAGCCCCACCCCCTCACTTCCCCTACATCCCACCCCCCACCTCCCTACTGTCCATACCCCACCCCCCTCACTTCCCCTACATCCCACCCCCCACCTCCCTACTGCCCCATAGCCCTACCCCCTCACTTCCCATCACCCCACCCCCCACCTCCCTACTGCCCATAGCCCCCTCATCTCCCCTACATCCCACTCCCCACCTCCCTACTGCCCATAGCCCCACCCTTTCACCTCCCCATCACTCCACCCCCCACCTCCCTACTGCCCCATAGCCCCACCCCCTCACTTCCCATCACCCCCCCAATGGCCTCCATTGCCCCACCACACCCTCCACACCAGCACCACACCCGCTGCCCTGCGACCCGGGGCAGACAGGGCCACAGGTCAGCTCTGAGAACACGCGAGCACTGTGCCCACCAGGTGATTTGGACCCTCGGCCACCCTGGACACCTGCCTGGAAGGCCGGGGCCTGGGGGACTGCCTGGGGGTGATTCTGGGAGTGTGGGGCCTGGGGCGGTGGGGCTGAGGCAGTCAGGGTCCCTGAGGCTGCCCTGCCCCTTAGCTGAGGGGCACCTACGGGGGCTGTAGTGGACGGACACGGGGTCGCTGCGGGCCCCGTCCCTGTAGTAGGCCAGGAGGGTGATCTCGTGCTCCAGGTGCCCCCCGAGGCCGGGCAGGACGGCCGTGCGCAGGCTCCCGGGGACGGAGACCTGTGGGGAGGAGGGCAGTGTCTGCCTGGCTGGGCAGGCAGGTCCCGCGATGCCACGCTGGGTGGGAGCCCAGGAGCTGGGGGTGGGCAGGGTCTTCTCTCCCACGTACCTCATGGGCCTTCCCATCCCCCAGAGGTGTCCACTTGATCTGGTAGCGCAGCACGCCGGACGCCGCTGCGGCCGCCCACGCCAGCTGGACCTCCCCGCCAGGGAGCTGTGTCACGGCCAGCCGGCCGGGGCTGGGGACTTTCCCTGGGAGAGGGCAGGGAGAAGGGCTGGACGGCAGGGCCTGCCCTCCTCTCGGCTGACTCATCAGAGGGGCCCTCATTGCCGTTAAGGAGGTGTCGCTGGCTTGAGTCACGCTTGGGGGCCAAGGGGACCCCCATTCTGCACGTGGAGGCGGTGCCCACATTCCCACCCTCCGGGGACTCACGTGTGGTCAGGCGGCCGGCCATGGTGGTGGAGCCGCCCCCGGGGGAGAGGCGGGTGACTCGGACGGTGTAGGTGGTGGAGGAGGAGAGAGGGCCCAGAGTGACTGAGGTGGCATTGCCGGGAGCCTCCATCTGCGAGGGGCACAGGGGCAGGGCCTCCTGTGGCTTCCCCGCCCCCAAACAGCACACAGCTGAATTTTCACCCCTCACAGCGCCCGCCCCACGCCTCCTCAGGCTGCCATTCACAGCCATTCCTTGCTTCACACGTGTCCCCCCCCTGCCAGGTTGGGGCTCCCAAGGGCGGGCACGGTGTCAGTGCTCTGCGAGTACAGGGGCCCTGGACACCAGGTCCCCCAGTGACCCCACAGTGCACAGCCTGCTCTCACCTGCCCCGAGTGGCCGCCCTTGCTGGACAAGTAGCTGACCCTGAACAGCTGCACCGGCCTCAGGGTGCCCCTCCAGGACACACGGGCCGAGTCATGGCTCACGTCTGAGAAGGTCAGGGGTCTGGGGGGAGCCAGGGGAGCTGTGGACACAGCAAGGCTTCAGGGACCAGCCGCATCCCTCGCCCCCCGCCCCCCCAGTGAATGGGGGGAGCATGGGCAATGGCCAGGCCAGTGGGACCACCAGTCAGGGACCCCACCCCGTGGAAGGCCTCTGCCCACTGGTGGGTGGCAGACTGGGGAGGTGGGCACTCACGGGTCCTGGCGTGGATGCCCCGAGCCTCGCTGGCCTGTGCACCTTGCAGGCTCTGCACCCGGATGTCGTAGTCCCTGCCCGGCTCCAGGCCACCCAGCAGCACCTCCGGCTGCACAACCCGCACCTGGGGGACACTCCATTGGCCCCGTCCACCTCTCCCCGCCCATCGGCCCCAGCTGCCTTCTCCACCCTCTGCCACGCACCTCTCTGCCCTTCTCCTCGCCCTTGGGGGAAACCAGAGAGTACCGCACCAGGTACTGGGTGGCCCCCGCTGAGGGTTGCCAGGTGAGGCGGATGGTCCTGGGAGTCACTGTGGCCAGGGCGAGTGCCTGGGGCGGAGGCAGAGGCACTGGAAGAGGGGGCACCACAGGAGACATCATACCACAGATCGGGGACACGGGCTGGAGGACAGCCCTGCGGGCACACACAGACGACTCCCGTCTCTGTCCCCAAACTCCACCGGGCCACGCGGCCAGCTCCCAGCTCTGGGAGAGCGCGGGGGGGCTGCTGTTGGGTGGGAGAGCCATGGCCCCCGGAGCAGACAGCCCACGAGGAAGCCGGAGCACTGGCCACAGGCTGCGGCCGGAATGGCGGGAGGGAGCGGAGGGCGGGGTCCGTTATAGAGCTGACAGTGGGGTCAGTGCATGACTCTGTGGACACCTCTGTGCACACTTCCAGGGCGGAGCTGCAGGTGCCTCCCGGCGTGGGGAAGGCTCAGGGCAGGCCCCCGGCTGTGGCCGGCAGGGCGGGGGGCTCCAGAAACAGGTGAGCAGTGACAGTACCGTCTGGCTGTGGTGAAGTACAAATGACATCACTGGTAAAGGGTCAGGGAGGCCCAGTGACTGCCTCTGTCACACGGCAAGGTGGGAGTGGTGCCCCCACCCTGGATTAAGACTAAGACCCATACCAACCAGCTGCCCGCCCACCTGTGGTCACCAGGCCCTGCAGGCCCGCCCCCGCCCCCGCCTCGTACACGGGGAGCACGGACAGCAGGTACTCCGTGCCGGAGGTCAGGCCATGCAGCTCCACGGACGTGCGGGGCCCGTCCACCTCCACCTGCAACGGGAGGAGCCTGGCTGGAGCCGGCTGAGTGGGCACGGGCAGGCGGGTCAGTCCTGGCTTCCTGCCAGCTCCGCCCCCGGCTCCCGGAGCAGAGCAGCTCCTGGCACCACTGGCCACCTGAGTGCCCTGAGGGCTCAGCCCGGCAGGGCCGCCTGCACGCTGCCCTTGCCCCACACTTACTCCTCCCGGTCTGCATTCCAGGCCCCGCTTTGCTTTGCAGGGACAGGAGGAGGCACTCTCACCTCCCGGGGGGGCCCGCCCCTAGAAGGCCGCCACACCACCAGGTACTTGAGCGGCGGCTGCAGGGCTGGAGTCCAGGACAGGTGGGCGCTGGAGGAGGTCACCTGGGTCAGGACGAGGCTGGTGGGAGCGGAGAGGGGGTCCAGGGCTGGAGTGGCTGCTGCCGGTTGAACTGAGGGAAGCAGGGCAGATGGTCAGCGTCCCTGCGGCAGCTGGCATTACAGGCTCTCTCTGCTCCCCCCAGTGGCCACTTCCAGAAAGAGCAGTGTTCCCCTGGCAGGAGCTGCAGACCCACACGGGGGGGGGGGGGGGGGGGGGGGGGGGGGGGGAGTTTGGGGGAGTCCTTCCACGGAAGGGCAGGCTGCAAGCATAGGTGACCTGCCCTGGAGTCCCACCTGACAGCTCACCTGGGCCTGGACGTGGGCTCCTGCCCTGGACCTGCTGGCAAACGAGGCGGCTGAGCAGGCCGGCCAGTGTGCTGAGCTGGGGGAAGTCCTGCACGCTGTGGACGGTGATGTCCAGCGGCGGGGACGCCAGGAGCCTCAGCTCAGCCTCATCAGCATTCTTCACGCCTGCCCACGGCCAGAGAATGGGAAGGCCCCGTGGAGCCACTGCCACAGCTGACCGTCAGTCACCCAGCGGCTGGGAGGCCGTCCTGGTACCCACGACTCCACAGGCCCCGGGACTGGGCCACCTAACAGGGCCCCAGGGGATGGCAGCTGGGGCTGGTGCAGAGGTGAGGTGAGCGGGGATATGTTTACAGACATGCCAACTGGTTCATGCCCCTCTGCTGTGACTGCAGCCTCCCTGCAGGTGCCCGCGGCACTTAGAGCCCAGCGTGGGCACTCTCACAGCCCCCAGAGCAGGGATGGGTCTGCCCATTTTGCAGACTCAGGGCTAAGGCTCAGAGAGGCCAGGGGACTCCAGCCCAGAGGAAGCGGGCAGGTGTGCAAGCTCCCACCTGCACGCTGTGAGAACTCTGCCGAGACCGGCTGCTCACCCACAGCAAAGATGTCAACATCCAGGCTCCTGAGGGTGCGGCCAGCAGCAGGAGCATCGTCCTGGGACTTGCCATCCGTCACTAGAATCACCACCTTGGCCGCCTCTGGACGGGGACCTGCTGCAGGCTTCAGGTTCTGCTCTAGCACGTGGGTCAGGGCCAGGCCTGGGAGCAATGAGGAGAAAGTGTGGGGCCTCCACCACCAGCTCACCCTTCTCGCCAAACAGCTCCTCCAGCCCCATGCTCTGCCGCCATGTCAGTCCTGGACCCTCCAGGCTGGGGCATCTGCAGGGCAGGGACACCTCCTCCCCTACCCTCAAAGGCAGGGAGACTTTCAGTGTGGGGACAGGGAGGAGACTGTGCTGTGGAGACAGCCCCAGGAGTTGCTTCCGGCAAGGCCATGACCACACCCACTGGCAGCCCCTTCCAGAAGCTTCTGTCTACCAGGGGAGCCACTCACTTTCAGCAAGACCGCCCACCAGAAACCACATTCTGGCCAGAAAGAAATGAGGTTGAGCATGGCCTGTGTGGCTCAGTAGTTGAGCATCAACCTATGAACCAGGAGGCCATGGTTCAATTCCCGATCAAAGTTCATGCCTGGCTTTCAGGTTCCATCCCCAGTAGGGGGCATGCAAAGACAGCTCATTGATGATTTCCCCTCATCATAGATGTTTCTATTTTCCTCTCCCTTCCTCTCTCTGAAGTTAAAAAAAAAAAACTTTAAAAAATAAATGAGGGTAATTTGCCATTACAAAGGTGAGAGAGGGGTCAGCTCCACCCAGCACTGGGCTTGTCACCTGCACAAATCTGCAAGACTGGGAGGGGCGTAGAGGGAGGTGGGTGTGCAGGGCAGCATGCGAGAGGGCCTCAGGGGAGACCTGTGAACGTGTTTCCCCCTCTGTAGTGGAGGCTGTGCACGGCAGCCAGCACCTCCTCCTTGGTGCTGAAGGTGTTCAGGTCCCACTCGGTCTTGGGGTCTCCGCTGTACTGAGTCAGGCCTGAAAAGACAGGTGCCAGGCGTGGCTGCTGGAGAACCGGGCGGAGGCGGGTGCACACAGCCTGGCTGCCCGGGGTCACTAGGGAGGGCACATGCTTGAAAAACCCTTGTTTCTACACAGGATTTGCCAGAGTGTCCCCCTAGGAGCCAGCTGTCCATCAGCTGGGGCCCCCAGCTGGCTGGTGCTGCAGGCCACACCAGCCAGCAAAAAGCTCTCCTCCAGCCCCTGGCTCGCTTCACGCCTGCGCTGGGATCTAGGAGCCTGAGGGTCACCAGGGTGGGGCTTCGGGGCATGGGGCCAGAACTTACCCACTTGGACTTTATCCGGCCCAATCTCAAAGGGCTCGATGATGCTGGCCAGGAAGTCTTTGACCTGCTGGAAGTGACTGTGGCCAATACTCCAAGACCCGTCCACCAGGAAGATCATGTCGGCGGGTGTGGGGGGCGTGCAATGGAACTGGAGGCCAGCTGGTGGGCAAGGAGGGAGAGGTGTAGGCCAAGCCCACCGCCACTGCAGGCCGCCAAGCTGCTCTGAGCCTGGCTCCAGCCACTCAGGCTGTCCTTCTCTGGGGTTAGTGGAGGGGCTGGGCCCCAGGGCTTCGGCCTCTGGCTGAGTCTTGGGGGCAGGGACTCCAGAGGTGTTTGGATCTCACCAGACTCGGGATCCTGCGAGTGAACCTTGGGCCATGGGGTCAGCTCCTCCAAGCCCGTCAGAGAAGGCTAGTGAAGCCCGGGAGCTCTGGCCTCTGCCCTCCAGAAGCCTTGGCAGGGCTGGCCACTGTGTGCTGTCCATGTGAGGGCTGCTATTGAAGATCAGCCCTCCACCACACACACACACACACACACACACACACACACACACACACACGCTGACACCCAAGCCCAGTGGGCAGACATATTCAAGGTGGACTGACTGACTGGATGGGTGTGGTCAGCACCACGGACAGCTCCATTAGCCTGCTCTGGGCTGAGGCTCACCCCTGACCTAAGGGCTTGTCCTGAGGACCCAGGAGCTCTGGAGACAAAGCCCAAAGCCCTGTGACCCCTGCCTGGGGTCTGGGGCACCCTGAGTTTTGCAGAGACAGCACCTCCAGGCTGAGCCCAGAGTCAGGGCCGGACGCCATGTGGAGGCTCCTGAGAAGGCAAGTGTGGTGAGACCATCTGAGGAGGGAGGTAAGACCGTGTGCAGAAGGCGGCACACCTGCCCTGCGAGCCACAGCAGCGGCGTCCTGGCTGCTTTACCTGGCTTCTCTCTGTTTCCCGCAGACATCCTGGGGCGGCCGGGCCTTCCTGGGCTGAGCTGAGCGGGGGCCGTTCCCGCGGGGCCTCTGGGGGAGCGTTGATCCTTGCCAGGAAATCCTGGGGAAGGTCATACCTGTCACTTCTCACCTGCCACACTCAGGCTGGGAGGTACCTGGAGGGTCGGGAGGATGGGACCAGGCACTGGGGCCCTGAGGACACCCCAGCGAATGACCTGACCTGTGGGTTTGAGTGAGCCCCAGAGAGTGGCTAGAGAGCGTGAGGTCAAATATCAGGAAGAAAGTTCTGGCCACATACAGAGAAAACATGAGATGCTGGATTCCCGTCCCCCAGTGACTTACCCTCATCCCACCTGGACCCACCCAGAGTGGGCGGGTCTTGGCTTGGGGCCAAGATGACTCGGGGGTCAGGGTCTAGACTCCCGATGTGGGTAGGTGTGGGCTCTAGAGCTGCCCCCAGCGGTCTCCAGCTGCTTCCGCTCACAGAGTGACTCCTCAAATCCTTGACTGCAGAGATGCAAGGGGCTGTCAGGACCCTACCAAGGAGCAGAGGCCTCGGGGGGCTGAGGGCCTGCCCACACAACCCTCCCTGCAAGGGCAGATCCCAGGCTCCATGGGACCCCAGCCCCATGGGAGAGTTATAATTGAGGCTCCTGGGTGGCCTCATGGGGAGCAGAGCTCAAACACAGGCCTAGGCTGCCAGCCAGAAGCATTGCCAAGGCTCACCTGCAACCTCCTTGCCACACACTCACCCCCAGAGACAGGAACCTGCAGGGGGGGGCCTGGTGGACTTACTCACAAACTCCCTCTGAGCCAGCAGGACGTTCCCTGAGCTGATGAGCTCAAAGATCTGCAAGGTGTACCTCTTGGAGGGGCTCAGGCCCCCCACTGTGGCCTTGGGGGTCTTGGTGGTCAGCATCACCTCCTGCTCCACGTCCCCTGGGATGGGGTTTGGAAGAACTGTTGAGGGCAGCAAAGTGCGTGTATATGTGTGTGCCCACATGGGTATCCCGTGTGTGTATGTATGTGTCCAAATGGGTATCCCGTGTGTGTGTGTGTGTGTGTGTGTGCGTGCGTGTGTGTGTGTGTCCAAATGGGTATCCCGTGTGTGTGTATGTGTGTGTCCAGGCTCCTCCTTGTTCCGCACACACATTGCCCTGCTCAGGCGCCCACACCACACCTGGCCTCGGGGACGCCGGGTTCCTGGTGTGTTAGTATCAGCTGTTCTCACACGCACCCTGTCCTGGAGGCCTGTCATTCTTCCAGTCCCCCCCCCCCCCCCCCCGTCTCCCAGCTGCACCCACCTACTACATGCTAGATGCAGACTTCACTGAGCCTTGGACCTGAGAACAAGGTCCACTCCCATGTGCCCACACTCTTTCAGAAGCTGAGCACCTTTCCCAGGGAGAGCATGACACAGATCCCACGCGGGCGGCATTCACACATGAGCCCACAAGCACTGCCTTTGCCCACGGCCCCACACCAGCTTGGGCTGCATGCCAGGCAGTGCCAGGCCTCAGCTCAGCAGGCACCCCTCCTGCTGAGCTACAAAGCCTGACAGGCTGTGAAGAGTGGGAAGAAAGGACAGGGAAAAGGTGGAACAAGTATAACAAGAGTAGGAAGATGATTTAAACCCAAATCTGAAGGTCATTCAATGTCATGGAAATAGGAAAAACGCTTCATCCAAAAAGCCAACTCTGTCTCACTGTACAAAAGCAACACCAGCTCTATGTTTCTTGGAAGATGCACCTAAAATAAGTGAATAAAAGATCTCCCCTGCCCTGATCCATTTGGCTCAGTGGATAGAGAGTCGGCCTGCGGACTGAAGGGTCCCAGGTTCAATTCCGGTCAAGGGCATGTACCTGGGTTGTGGGCACATCCCCAGTAGGAGGTGTGCAGGAGGCAGCTGATCGATGACTCTCTCATCGATGTTTCTATCCCTCTCCCTTCCATATATTTAACAACAAAAAAAGATCTCCCTGGGCCGACACTCGGCACAAAAGGTAGCGCCACCAGAGAGCACGAGGAGCCTCCGCAGGTGCTGGAAACCAAATCAGTTTCACTGAAAAAGAGATGTTGACAGGAAGCCAGGAAGGCTGGTCAACAACCTTAATTGCTCTAACTTTTAGTTGAGATATTGTTAGCTGAAGCAGAATCTACCTTGTCCGTGAAAGTTTGTTATTTCCTGCCTCAGGGCTACATGTAAATTTCTGTTTATGTTGCTTAAGATGTTTTCCCCAAAGCCTCAATAAAAGGGGATGGCAGGGCCAGAGCAGGAGTAGTTCTCCCACTAGAGTTGGACTACCGCCTGGCCCCCCAAATTGCCAAATTGAATTTCTTCAAGTCTCTTCATTTGTGTGCGGCCCTTCTCCAGAAGCTGAACCCTGAATTGGAACTCTTTCTACGCGGGCCGTGAAAGAGAGTCCTATATCTGGCGCCTTCAACGCGGGACTTCTGGAGGAGAAGGTATTTTTCGCCTAAGAGCGAAGGAGGAAAAATACACCGAGAAAAGGTGTGGAAAATTCACCAGAAAAAGGTGTGGAAGATTCACCAGAAAAAAGGTGAGGGAAATTCACCGCACTCAAAGCCCACGGCCAGCTGCAGCGTCGCGAACTGTAAGCAGGGTGGGAACGTCTTTTTTCAGCCAGGCTAATGGGGAAGAATTAGGTTATAAATTTAAAGTAAACTTTATTATAGATTTTTGGTTTGTAAACTTAAAGAATGTGGTTTCTTGTTCAAATTAAAATCTTAGTCTGTATTTGGAATTTAAAATCTGTAATAAGAAATGAGACTCCACTGCTGAAACCGCCTCTGGTGCGGAGAAATTCAAAGGTGGCAGGAGAGGGCAAAGCTATCTGCTCTCCTGCAATGAGATTACTTAAAGTTTTCTTTAAAAATTATAAAAGAATTCGCAGGGAAATGCTGATCTTGGCCAAATTGGGTGCTAGTTATTACTTCAGAAAGCAAAAAAGAAAGAAAAAATTTAAGACCTGTCTTTATCATTTAAGCATGAAAAAATGTGTGGCCAGATCTGTTGAAACTTCTCCCAAAGTAAGCTTGATGTGGGGGAAGGAAAGAGACACAAGGCAATCCTATAAGGAAGACCACTCACTCAATAAGCTAAGGAATGTGGTAACTTGCATTTGAATGGCTACAAACTTCCTCCAAATTCCTGTGGCAAAATTTTTGTGGAAGTTTGCTTAATTATAAAAATAAAAAAATAAAGTTTAAATTTGCCTCATAAAAAAATCTAGAGAACAGAATTGAAGCTCTTAATTGATTATGTCTTGTATTTTTCTTAGAAATGTAAAGTGTCAATCTAGGTCATACAATATATATTTGATTTGGCAGCTTTAAAAGTTCAAAGTGCAAATTAAATTGGGAGAAATTATATAGTTGTAATTAAAATACCTAAAGTATAACTTGTTTTTGAGAAAATAAAAAGTGTGTTTTCTCTAATAATTAGGAATTCAAAATAAGTTGCTTATTATTGGTCTAATTAAAAAAGAGGATTAATTCTGTGATCTCAACCAAATATTTTCTATGCAAAAACTAGTCTAAATTTAATTGATATCTTAAGATAATAATAAAAGGTATTATAATATTTAAATCATATATGGATATAGATATTTGTTTGATGGTTTTTTCCATGTTAAAATTTCAAGGCCTTAACAGAGATGATTCTTGGAAAGCTCCAAGGGCCCGGAGAAATACAAGAAATTTATTCTCTTCTTAAATGATTTAAAACAGATTTAATAAACTTGAAATTGCATGGAAAGCCTTATCAAATAAAAATAAATAAATATAAATATTTTAGAAGGTTTATAGGCATGTATTGTTACTGGCAAAGGAAAGCAGTTAACTTTCCTGGCTCATGGTAAAGAAGACGTATAGACGCCTGACACCTGAGAATGTCTTTCTTGCCATGTTAGCAGTAATCATCTGTACGGTAATATTACCTGGGACAAATGTGGAAGTGTTTAGGACATGTTCCTGGCCCTTCATGGGTAAAAGCCCTTATGTGGGCTGATCCCTTGCCAATGTAGTCACCAATAATACTAAACACCTTGGTCATCCAGGAAGAAAATGGGTGGGGCAAGGAAGTATAATTACACAGGTGTTGCCACCCAGCTTCCCTTTTTGTATGACACAAAATCAAACCACTGCTCCTTTGTGTGTAAAATTAAAGAGAGGTTTCTGGCTTGCACCAAAGTAGAGGAATATCACTACTTGCTCCTGGGAGAGGTGCAGAGAATGTAACTAAGACCTTGTCTATACAAAAAGAAATTGACAGCCAGTTTGAATTTGAATTGCCATTGGCTTAGAACAAAGAATATCCTTGCATGGTATTATTCTACAATGTCATTTATAATTTTTGATATTTTACAACAGCATATTGTACAGTTATTCCAAACAAAATTAAAAATCTAATTTTCAAATGTTTGGCAGCAATTCAAAAGGACATGAAAGGATTTAATCCCTTCCACTGTGTGGAGGGCCTCACTGGGAAGGCACTTGAGCATTCTATATTGGCCTTTCTTGCCTTATTTGCGAAGAGGGACCCTCTTGTCACAATCCAATTGCCCACAGCTGTTGCCAGAGTTTTCAATTCATGCTGAGGTTAAAGCCTCGTGGTGGCTGGTACCATGAATCTGTCTCTCACACAATGGCGTGAGCTGGGACCTCCCTGGAGAAGAAACCTGGGTTCCCCAAGATATGTGATATGTGATCAATGCCGGGGCCCTGCCAGCAGGTGAGGGGATCCCAGGCAGGTACTGGGCATGGAGGCCATAGGGGCATAGGCTACAAGGAGACAGAACTGAACCTCACATCACACTGCTTGGCCCTGGAGGATGGCTGGTTAGCCAATGACGGGTAAGATTCCTCAAGGGAGGGACAACCTAAGACAGGCACAGCCGCAGAGGGCCATCAGGAGAGGACTTGGGGGCCAACAGAGGTGGGGCACAGATCCTCACACCCCCAACGCTGTAGGGGCTTGAACACTCGCCCTTTTGAGGGATGTCTCCTGCCCCATGGCTGCTTCACGCTTCCCATACCCAGCTCAGATTGGGACCCAGCTACAAACAGATTTGGTCCAGCTCAGATTGAGACCCAGCTACAAACAAGAGACTTGGCACCACTCTTATTGAGACCCAAGCAACAGAGAAATGGCTGATGGCGACTGTCCTACATCTAAATCCAGCCTAAATCTACGAGTGCTCAGGGCTTTCTCAAGGATGCATATAATCTTTTCCATTAATATTTACAGAGTAAACTAAAGTTGTTAAAGTACTAATTTGACAGTAAAATAGTCAAGTTTTCAGATTAATTTAAATTGGCTAAATGAAATGAGTTAATATTCAAGAAAATTTAATTGTACAACAGGCTGTTCCTAAAGTATTAACCAAAATTTCTATTGGTAGTCCATTTCATGGTAAAATTGTTTAACATACAATAAACCCTAAAGCAGTCATAGTTTTTGTACAAAAAAATTAAAATTTAAAAGTTATCAAAACTGCATTATAAAAAATTTTTTCAAAAGCCTCCTAATAATTAAATAGAAAAAAGGGGGATAGTGGAAAATACCATGTAGGAAAAAAAATGTCCTGTAAGTAAATTACATCTAGAAAAATTTTTCTTCTTTTGAAAACCAATTTTCATTTGTAATGATAACAGTAAGACAGCCATGAAAAACACACATAGTACCAAAATAAATCAAAGAAAAATTGTTTGGGCAAAAAATTAAAAGTATCCCAAGTAAAATTTATAGAAAAGATTCCTTTATTAATTTTGGTCGAGATACGTTTGTATATTTTCAGAAAACAACCCCAAGACCATGTGGATTCCTGCAACAGAGAAGAATTGACAGGAATACTCCAGCCATAAAGACAAGAGGAAAAACAGACCAGAGATGGAAGATGCTGACGACGCCTTGCCATACTAGCAGTCAGCAGATGTGCGTCGCTGCAGGTTGTCCAGGACCAAACCAGAGGTCGGACCTGCATTGCCACCATTTTTCCACCATCCGGATATCATTGCTGACATGGACTCAGAACTGTTGGACATTAAAATTTGGACTCAAAAAACTGTTTGACATTGAATCTGGGATTCAAAAACTGTTGGCCCAGAAAGAAACTTACTGCAGACTGATTTCATTTGACTCTCAGCATTGCTTGTTTCATTTTTTGTTTATTTCTAGTCTACAAATGCAAAAATTTTTAAGGAAAGAAAACGGGGGAGATGCTGGAAACCAAATCAGTTTCACTGAAAAAGAGATGTTGACAGGAAGCCAGGAAGGCTGGTCAACAACCTTAATTGCTCTAACTTTTAGTTGAGATATTGTTAGCTGAAGCAGAATCTACCTTGTCCGTGAAAGTTTGTTATTTCCTGCCTAAGGGCTACATGTAAATTTCTGTTTATGTTGCTTAAGATGTTTTCCCCAAAGCCTCAATAAAAGGGGATGGCAGGGCCAGAGCAGGAGTAGTTCTCCCACTAGAGTTGGACTACCGCCTGGCCCCCCATATCGCCAAATTGAATTTCTTCAAGTCTCTTCATTTGTGTGCGGCCCTTCTCCAGAAGCTGAACCCTGAATTGGAACTCTTTCTACGCGGGCCATGAAAGAGAGTCCTATACGCAGGGAAGGGCAGTCCGCCAGGAGGACATGATTTAAATGGCGCCCCTTACAACAGCCTCAACATAGAAAGCACGGGTTGTGAGGCAAGCAGAGACGCCTCTACAGCACAGCGGGGTAGAGGATGGGTGGACTAAAAATCAGTAAAGATATGAAAGAAATCATCAAGAGATGTAAAAAAACCTGCCGAACAGGGAAAATATTTGCAAATCATATATCTGCTAAGGGGCTAGTGTCGAAAATATATAAAGAACTCATACAAATCAACAGCAAAAATTCTAAGTCATCCAACTTAAAAATGGACAAAAACCTGAACATTTTTCCAAAGGTACATATGGGCACATGAAAAGATGCTCAGCATCACTGATGATCAGAGATGCAAATTAAAACCACAGTGAGGTACCACCTGTCGGGATGGCTACCAACAACCAATCAACATGTGCCCACACTCTTTTAACCATGCTGGCGAGGACTTGGAGGAAAGAGAACCCTGGGCACTGCTGGTGGGGATGCAGACTGTGAAAAACAGTGTGGAAGTTCATAAAAAAAAAAAAAAAAGAAGAAAGAAAAAAAAGTAAAAACGGCCAGGCCGGTATGGCTCCACGGGTGAGCGTCGACCTATGAACCAGGAGGTCACAGTTTGACTCCTGGTCAGGGCACACGCACAGGCTGCAGACTCGATCCCCAGTGTGGGGCATGAGGGGGCCAAGGATGATGTTTTTCATCAGTGTTTCCATCTCTCTTTCCCTCTCCCTTCCTCTCTCTCCCCAAACATATTTAAAAATAAACACTTAAAATAGAACTGGTTTGAACCAGAGCAACAGAGGCCAGGCCCGAAGCAGCCAGGCCCGAAACAGCTCGCTTCTCGCCTGCCCCTGCCCCTCAGACATGGCTGGAAACTTTTGCGGGAACTTGAGGGTCTGCTGAATCAAGTGATGAAGGCTTAGATCTGGATGTGTTGAGTTAGTATAGGGCTGGGGTGTTGATCTGTGAGTGCCTTGGGTGGGGCCTGGATGAGGCTGGTTGACCTATTTGGAAATGTCTTTTGTGTGAAATGTATCATTGGGCATGTGGTGGTATTATTGATATGAGAAAATGCTAAGTAACTGATTTACTATCTGAAAAGGGATTTACTATCGGGGAAAGGGAGGGAGGAAGAGACTGAACATAAACTGTGCACCTATAAGTGAGGATAATGGGGGATGGGGAGGGGGCGGAGGGTGGGGCGGGAACCAGGTGGAGGGGGGAAGAAATGAGGAACCTTTGTAACAATATGAACAATAAAGATTGATTTAAAAAAAAAATGGAACTGGTTTGGTTCAGTGACTACAGTGTCATAGATTTGGTTCCAGTCAAGGGCGCGTGCAGAAGGCAACCAATCAATGTATCTCTCTCACATTGTGGTTTCTCTCTCCTCTGTCTCTCCCCTCCCTACTCTCTCTCTAACAATCAATGGGAAAATATCCTCGGGTGTGGATTAGCAAAAATAAAAATAGACAGAATCTACAGGACAAACTGATTTGTAACATAAAATACAGTAAAATGGACTGCTTTAGGCCCGTCAGTCCCAGTCGGAGTATCCGTGCGAAGGAAACCAGACCCCTGTCTCCGGCGGCTGCAGCACCACGTTCGGGGAGCGCTGCTCACACAGCGGGGCGGTGGCTGTGCGAGTGCGGTAGCACACTGGGCATTACAAGACATTACACAGAAATGAGGGACGTCTACCATTTTGGGAACATGGATGGACCATGGAAGGATTATGCTAAGAAAAATAAGTCCAAGACAAATACTGTGCAATCTCGGTGCGGCATCTAGAAACTCACGGAGGAGGAGATGGGACTGGCTGCCAGAGGTGGAGGCTCGGGAGGGGCCTGAGGAGGGTCAGGCACAGATCCCAGGCGCAGGCAGGCGAGGGATGGGATGTAAAGGCTGTGGCTGAAGCTGGTCCAGGGCACACAGGGGAGGGTTCAGAGTGAAGCCTCCGTCTTCATCACAAGGAGAAAGGCTCTCCTTCGCTGTGTCTTGGAGGGAGGACACTGTGAGGCAGCTATGTGTCCTCGCACAGCACACGTAAACGAGCCACCATGTGGCCGCACTGCTATGCTCATGTATGTCCATTACTTCTCACTAAAACTGGGAAAGGTATTTAAGATTTGAAAAATGAGGTAGATGAATTTGACTTCATGAAAATATTAGAAAACTACACCCAAGTCAAGGGGTTATTCCTGGGGTCAGAGGGCAGGTGGGACGGGGTGGGACTGCGGGGCCTGAGCTCGCCTCACTTCCTGCCTGTGCCTGCGATGACACCTTTGTCCGTGGGCATCCCTTCAGTCACGTCTGTGGAGCTCTGTGACCGGCCTGTGCCGCCTCCCAGCACCCTCGCCTCCCTCCTGCCCCGGAGGCCCTCGCAGCCACTGACACGCAGAATCCTGAGGGGTTCTAGCTGAGCAGGGACCACTGTTTCTTCAAAAGCCGGTAGCTGGGCGCCTTCTGCATGTGCCAGGCATGGGGTCAGGTGGGAAACGTAAGATTCTCCCACTACACACCCTGCCCCAGCAAGGAGGGCAGTCACACCACTGCGAGGTGCCGCAGGGGAGGTGAGGGCCATACCTGCCACGGGCTTCACCTGCACCAGGTAGCCGAGGCCATGCCCCTCCGACTCTGCCCACTGTATCTGCAGCTGGTCCTCGGGCAGCACAGCGAGCTGCAGGTGGCCGTTTGCTGGGGAGACAGGACAGCGTGGTCAGGACTGACACCCAGGAGCCACCCAACGGCCGTGGGGGGGCGGGACCTGTGTGGAAGGTGTGAGGCGGCCTTGGCCCCACTGCGGGGACCTTGGGAAAATGAAGCCACTGGCTCTGAGGGGTGTCCCCTGCCCGGGCTGGCGTCCCGGAGATGCCATACTGCCCCGCGGGCAACAGCAGGCACTGAGCCAACCAGGCAGCTCTGCCTCCTGGATTTCCCCGCCACGTCCGGTGGGAGAGGCAGCTGTGTGGCTGCTGCAGACCCCCAGCTGCTGAGGTTACAGCGAGGTTCAAGGCCCATGGGGTGGGCGCCCTGAATGTGAGGGTGCCGTGAGGGTGCCTCTTGGAGGCCGGGAGCAGTGGCGGCCTGAGCCCGGCACGTCCTGACCTCCCAGGCAGGCTTCCGGAGCCCCCCGGCGGGAGCAGCTGTTTGTGGAAAGTGCAGACAGAGAGGGGCTTCTTCTGGGCCTGAGAGCCGGGTGCGCAGGGAGTGGGCAGGGCGGGGGGCACCTTGCAGACACAATGACGCTTCAGAGCAGAAGCAGCTGAGCCTGCCTGAGGGGGGGTGGGGCACTGCTCCCTGCAGCTCCGGGCGGAAAGACAGGAATGTCTGGGCTTTGAAAAGCCACTTGTGAGCAGGGCCCCAGCTCTGGCTCATGAAGAGCCTCTGTGTCCCAGCGCCTCTGACGAGCTCAGGGAGGCACCCTGTGCTGCCTCGGGTCCCGACTAGGGGGTCTACGCAGGATGCTGTGCAGACAGCGCCCCCTCCACAGGCACCCTCAGGGAAGGGCTGCCCAGCACCAGAGTCCTGAACTCAGTTGTCACAGAGTCACCTGGGCTGGTCCCGTCGAAGAAGCCATGCTGCGGACTGAGGGACCCACCAGGCGGCAGTCACCAACCTGGCAAGACCCAATGGGAGTCCTGCCACAGAACAGAAAGCAGGCCGGCTCCCGATGGCCTGGCTGCGCCACACCCTGAGCAGAGCAGCCTAAGGCGGCAGCAGCCCTCGCCGTGACCCACAGGTGAGCTCGGGCAGTGGGAGAGCCCTGCTCTCACGCCCAGGGACTGCGCCTGGCCAAGCTGGCTCCTGTCAGACCAGAGCCTCAGTCCTGGATGCAGAGGCCATCCCAGCGCCCACTAGCCCAGCTCTCCTGGGACCAACTCAGTCAAGATGTGACCCTTTTGGGGTGTCACCCACAGTCCTGCAATGGATGTGTACTCCCCAAAGGGAAGTGGAATAAATGTCCTATAAGATGAGGTCAGATTGGGGTCTCCACACGAGAAGGGCTGAGGGAGAGGCTGCATGACTGTAACTCGCCATGTGCCTAGCGAGCAGGGAGGTGCTAGAAGCAACATCCCGTGCTGTGGGTCACTGTTCTGCAGGGTTGTACTGTTTGGAAAGAAGTCTTCATGGAATAACAGAACATTAATATGAGAGAATTAACTGCAAAGTATTAATACTTGTTTTTTAAAAATGAACCAGAGCCCTAACCGGTCTGGCTCAGTGGATAGAGCATCGGCCTGGGGACTCAAGGGTCCCGGGTTCGATTCCGGTCCAGGGCATGTACCGTGGTTGCAGGCACATCCCCAGTAGGAGGCATGCAGGAGGCAGCTGATTGATGTTTCTAACTCTCTATCCCTCCACCTTCCTCTCTGTAAAAAATCAATAAAATATATATATTTTTAAAAAGGAGCCAGAAAACAGAAGCCTCTCCAAGGCAAGGAGAAAGGTCACAAGGCCAAAGGTCAAGCTGCCAGCTGGAGCCTAGGCTTGGCAGAGGAGCACAGATGACCCCTTAGACAGCCACCCCTGGGGCCCAGGGCAGCGGGGGCTCAGTCCCCAGAAAGACCCCATCTTTGTCCTTACCTTGTTCTGGACCAAGTCCCAGGGGGACACCCAGCCACAGCCAGAGGCAGACCCCTAGGTGGGGGTGCGCCTGGGTGCCCATGGTGCTCAGCCTTCTGTCCAGCTGTCCCCTCCTGACGGCAAAGCCAGAGCTTCTCCAGCCACAGCGGGACTGCGCCCAATGCAGGCGCCCCTGGACACTGCGCTCAGCCACTCGCCCCTCCCAGAGGGCGCATCTGCAGGTCCCACAGGAGCTTCCTGAGCGAGAGGTCCGCTGTCCCTCTGCCAGCCACTCCACCCCCGACTGGCTCAGCCACAGCCGGGCCCTCATCCCGTCCTCAGGACTTCCCCCGGCCAGCTGGTCAGCTGGGCCCTGACCCGTGGCTGCACTCACTCGCCACTAGACCAGGCTGGGATGGCTGTCAGGGCCGAGGGGCCCAGGGAGGAACGGGCAGCTGGGGTAGGACCCAAGTAGAACCTCTGGAGAGAGCAGGCCTCTCGGTGGGGAGGGGAGGCCTAGGGAGGTGGGGCTGAGGTCATGGGGGAGCACTCTGGGGGCACCCCTCCCTCCCAAGATGCCTCTGAACCTCTGCTGACAGTGCAGAGAGGACACTTGGGCCCTTGGCCACCCTCGCCCAGCCTCACCCAGGGCAGGGGTAGCCGAGCTCTTGGGCTCCCCAGAAACCTGGTCTGACTCAGCCGGACCCCTTCCACGGGCAGAGCCCTCCACCCACCTCTGGAGCGCAGCTCCCCCCAGCTTTTCTGAACGGTTGAGGCCATCCTCAGACCGAAGCCCCGGGAGGACCCGCTGGGACGCTCCTCACTCACCCAGCCCAGTGCCTCAGGCCACCGGTCCTGCTGCAGCCACAGCGAGGCCAGGGCTTATGAAGGCCTTCCTCCTCCGTCACTGCCCCGCCGCCCTCAGCCTCCTCCCACCCTGGCTCTCCACCCTCCCAGCTGCTGCCCAGACCTTCCTCCAAGTGGGACAGAGATCCAGGGTAAAGGACCCCATCTCCTGGTGGGGACCCCACGGATTGTGGGGCACAGCACTGACCCAACACCTTTTCCCCTCACTCCACATGGTCTGCCCCAGAGGGCTCAAGAACAAAGGCCACCCAGATGGCCCTGGACACCAAGATGTGGGGGATGGGCATTGGGGGTCCTCTGGCAGCCTGGAGTAGCACCGGACCCCAAAGGCGCACCAACAGCCTTCCCCAGTCCTCCAGGGTCAGGACCCCACTGGGTCTGTGCTGTGGTCCTAGTGCCCAGGCCCACACCCCCCCTCCCGGGGAGCCCTCTGCACAGGCCACATCTCTGGCAGTCTGCAGCCTCAGCCATGCTCGGCCCCTCCGTGCCTACCTCGATGGTCCCACAGCCGGGCAGACCTGGTCCCAGAAATCAGTGCCTAGATTGAGTACCCACCCCAGCCCTCATCCCGCCCCTGCCCAGGTAGAGATGGACAGGCCTGACCTCGGGGTGCTCTCAGGCCCCTCTGGGCTCAGCTTTCGCAGGCACAGGAAGCCCAGGCCCTCAGGTTAGAAGTGAGACTTGCTGGAGGCTTGCGCAGATGGGGGTGATGGGAGCTAAGCGCAGGGCTTACCCTCCCCAGAGCCCTGCCTCGCCCAAGGTCCCAGGACACAGAAGCCTCAAGGCACAGGCAAGGTTGTCAGACACACGGGAGGCAGACGGGCATCGCATTCGTGCCCAACCCCTGGGACAAGCCAGTCTGCAGCAGCTCGGAGAGCAGCTCCGGGCGGAGGGAGAGCCGGTCAACAGTGCAAGGAGACAAGTGGCGCCAAATGCCACAGGACAGTGTGGGGACCGGCCAGACACGCCCACGCCTCCGCTCCAGCTGCCAGAAGGCCTGGCCATCAGGCACAATGGTCACTGGTCGCCCAGGCGAGGCGCCATTCTCTCCTGGCCTGGTGGGATGGGCCCGGGCTCGGGGCACTGGCCTGCCTTCCTCCCTGACCGTGCTCTAATGGCCACTACTGAGTTGTCTAGGGCCGTGGTCGGCAAACTGTGGCTCGCAAGCCACATGCAGCTCTTTGGCCCCTTGAGTATGGCTCTTCCACAAAATACCATGGCCTGGGTGAATCTATTTTGAAGAAGTGGTGTTAGAAGTTTAAAAAATTCGGCTCTCTCTGCCGAAACTGGTTTGGCTCAATGGATAGAGCGTCGGCTTGGGGACTGAAAGGTCCCGGGTTCAATTCCGGTCAAGGGCATGTACCTTGGTTGTGGACATATCCCCAATAGGGGGAGTGCATGAGGCAGCTGATCGATGATGACTCTCTCTCATCGATGTTTCTAACTCTCTATCTCTCTCCCTTCCTCTCTGTACAAAATCAATAAAATAAAATAAGAATAAAATAAAAAAATTCAGCTCTCTCTCTTGACGAAACCAGTTTGGCTCAATGGTAGAGCGTCGGTCTGCGGACTGAAAGGTCCCAGGTTCGATTCCGGTCAAGGGCATGTACCTTGGTTGCAGCTGGTCGATGTTTCTCTCTCATCGACGTTTCTGGCTCTCTGTCCCTCTCCCTTCCTCTCTAAGAAATCAATAAAATATATATATTTTTTTAAAATTCACCTCTCAAAAGAAACTTCAGTCGTTATCCTGTTGATATCTGGCTCTGTTGACTAACGAGTTTGCCGACCACTGGTCTAGGGTGTCCTGGGTGGGGCCACCACGGCTCAGAGGGCCAGATGGGCTCAAGCGCTGACAGGGTCCAGGGGTGGGGTTGTGTAGGGGGCAGACGGCCACAGGAGCGCTGTCTCTCAGACTGGGCATTCTCTTCAGAGAACTGCAGCGGCGCAGGCAGGACCCAGACACGCAGCACTCACACCACGCAGCCCTCGGAGGCTTTATTCGTGCATGTGGCGGCCCCACCGCAGCAGCTCCTGCCCCATGGCACCCGGGATGCAGAGGGGGAGAGGGGGAGCCGGAGCAGGACAGCCACCGGCCTCCAACCCCTGCAGCCGTGGAGAGCGAGCCCGTGCTCAGAGTCCCCGAGTGCCGCCCAAGGCCGTGCCCATGCTGCGGCCGGGTTTCCGCTCACGTAGAAGGTGCTGGAGAGGGCCAAGTGCAGGCACAGTGGCCGTCAGCAGTCGGCCGGGCCCAGCACGCCTACCAGTTGTTGTCCCAGCCCTCGTCCACCTGGGCAGCCTTCCTGGTGATCCTGGGCCGGCCCTCCCCGCCACCGCCCCAGGCCTCCCCGCCATCGCTGTTGTCACTGTTCTTATGGTTGGATGGGGAGCCCGAGCCCCACACGTCCCAGCTGTCCGAGCTCCGCTTCTCGGCCGAGGCGTCGGCGCACGTCCAGCTGTCGCTGCTTGGGGACCTGTGGGCCGCGGCGGGGTCCGTGCTCCCGAAGGTCTCCCAGAAGCTCTGGGGGAGGGTGCTGTTCTGGGAGTTGTCCCCTCCGCTGTTCTGGTAGCTCTGGTCCTCCAGAGGCCTTGGAAAGAGGGGGCCCTGAGCAGCTGTTTCTCAAGCGCCTGGCCTTCCGCTGGCACCCCCTCTGAGAACGGGGACCCAGGGAAACCCAGGCTCAGGGCTCCGGCTCGGCGCTGGCTGGAGGGACAGACAGGCCTCCCGCTGGAGCCGAGGGGCCTTGAGGGAATGGGAATGAAATCCCAGAGAGCGGAGGCCCGCCCTGTCCGGACGGCTGCCCCCCGCCCTGTGCCCCGTCCCCCGTGCCCCGTGCCCCGTCCCCCGTACACCGATGGGAACACCACAGCACACGGGCAGCAAAGCAGTGGCTTCCTGCCCGGGGCATGGGAGGCGCATCCCTGCGGGGTGGACTGGCACTGTCCACCAGGCCCTGCACAGCCACCTCCCCACCAGCTCCTCAGGGTCCTCCCAAGGGTCAGAGGAAGAGAAGGGCGGCACCCTGGGCTCTAGCAGGAGGCCCACCCCCCAGCGCTGGGCAGCAGCTGTTCAAGGTCAAGGGGAGAACGTCAGAGCGAGGGGTGAGGGGCACCACCCAGCCACTGCACCTCTGGGCCTCCTGCACGGGGGCCCTCAGCACCCTGGACCAAGGGGTGCCAACTGCTCCGAGGCCCAGGAGGAAAAGCCCACATCAGGACCGGGGCCTGGCATACCTGTCCGAGAGGTCCTCTGCTCGCCCAGAAAAGAAGGTGGTCACGTCCCGCCACCCCTTGCTGCCAACGCCCTGGACCTGGCAGGGGAGGGGACGCAGGTCAGACACGGAGCCCACCAACGGCCTTCTGCCCCGAACGCAGACACAAAGCCGCCCCGTGTCCCCACCGCTCGCCCGGCCGCTGGGGACAGTGAGGCTGGGCCTCAGGAGCAGGGAAACTCGCTGCAGGCAGAGGAGCCGGGCTGCACCCACACGCACTCTACCCCCGCGGCGAGGTGGAGACAGGCGGGTCCACACTCACCAGGGGACGGTCAGCGCAGCAAGAGGATGGAAGGAAAAGCAGCGACAGGTTAGCGCCTGTGCCGCGCACCGAGCTGTCTCCACATTCCTCCGGCCGGCACGGAGCCAGCTGCAGGCAGCAGCGGCAGGACCCACGGCGCCTGTGCCAGCGCTCGGAATGTGGAGACCGGCTCCAGCTGTGCCCGCATGTGGGCGGGCCCCTACCTTGGACGCCAGCTGAGACACCCCACTGGACACATCATCAAAAATCTTTCCCTCCTTCACCTGCGTGGGCCAACAGCGTCGTTAACGGGAGCTAGGGAACCGGGGAGCCCAGCACCATTCCTAAAAGGACGGCAGCTGACCCCACCCCCACTCTGGGCTAACACTGCAGCATCTCCCACCACCACCTGGGGGCGGCACTGCCCTGACCCCAGCCCACTGGAAGCTTCTCTTGCAGTCTGAGCCTCCTCTGTGCCTCCAGCCCCTCGGGAGGGGGCCTCTCTGAAGCTGGGGACACGCGGAGAGGCGGGGAGCACACAGGGAAACACAGGAAGTGCACGGGGAGAACATGGAGAGCACACAGGGACTCGGGGGACACGAGGAACACAGCCTGTCCACTGCGCCAGCCGCCCTGGGGACAAGGCCCACGGGGCACAGGAGCATGGCATGCGGAGGGGGTGTTACCTTCTCCTGGGCAGGTTTGAGGACATTCTCGTTCAGACTGTGGCCCAGCTCTGATGCCTGCATGAAGGACAGACGCCGTGAGAGGGAAGTCGGGGAGCTCCCAGGTGTTATGCTCACCCCAGGAGGAGGGTCAGGACAGCAGCCGCCCAATTTGCAGGAAGAGACACCGAGCAGCCCACTGGCACACAGGACCCACGGCAGCTGTGCAGCTGTGGCCCCGAGCACCCTGACCACAGAGGCCAGACACGCTGCCCCCTCTACGCAGTCTTACGTACGGGAAGGGGCCAGGGACGACACAAGCCCTGGGGCCCGCCCTGCCCAGCCTTCACCCCCAGGGTCTCCCCTCAGAGCCCAGTGGGTCCTGTCCGGGGAAGGCAGCCGGCACAGCAGGTCCTCACATGCTCCCGGGGGTAGGGGCGCAGCCTCAGCAGCCCAGCGCGAGCCCCGCGCAGCATGGACGGAGCAGCAGGGGCTGGCTGGGGGAGGGACAGAGCTGGAAGACGATGAAGTGGGGCAGGAGTGGGATGACGGGGCCGCGAGCAAGGCCTCAGGATGGGTGTCAGGACCTCACTCCTGGGATAAGACACCTGGCAATTACTCCATGCAAGTCCTGCCAAGTAGCTCCAGTGGATCCCAGGCCATCAGTGCCCACTGCATTCTGGTCCCCAAGCAGAAGCCCATGAGGCCAGTGCGAAGCTCGGAGCGTGAGCACACGTAAGCACAGACAGGACAGGCCACAGCAGGTGAGAGCAGAACCCAGCACAGGCCCAGCAGAGACGAGGGCATGCTGAGGGCGACACATGGGGCCTTACCAGCTCCGGTGGCTGCCTGGAACCCCAGAACTTTACCCAGCAGCACAGAGGTGGAGTGGGGAGAGAGGAGAGAGCAAGGCAGTAGAGCAGTATGGGCACCCCCAAAGGCAACTCAAGTCATGTCACTACATCACCCTGCCGGGGCCCCAGAGTGACACTGGAGCCCCTTTCACTGCCGCTGAACCACGTGAGTGAGGGGTTCTGGGGCTGAGCAGGGCCCCCGCGGCAGGGGAGAAGCCACCCCTCCCTCACTCGGGGCCTAGGGCAGCCCTGTGGCCGCGGCCTCCTGAGTGCTGACCTGCGGCCCTGGGAGGACAAGCAGCCCAGAGGCCTGGCACCCCGGGCACTGCAGGGACCACTAACCAGGATTTGAAAAAGAAAAGGCTGCAACCGAGACCCTGCCTACAGGAAGAGGAGGCACTGGCCAGGGACACGGGACAGGAGCCAGCCCCAGGGCCCGAGGAGGCTGGCTCAGACCCAGCCCAGCCTCAGTGCCGGAGCCTCCTCCTGCCCGGTGGAGCCGCCTGCTCCTTCTGGATAAGGGGCTCTGCCGGTGGCCTCGCGGCTGCCCAGCACCCAGGCTGCAATGGACAGGGTGAGTTTTCAGCCCCGTGGGCCTCAGCAGGAGCAGCCTCTCACCCTGCCTGCCAAACCCTCTCACCCTGCCTGCCAAACCCACGGGCCCCTGAAGTAGTGCCCGCAGACCCGAGCTCGGGGGACATCCACACCCACAGGCCAGTCAGTGCCCGGCTGCACACAGCACTGCCCCCTCCCGGAGCGCGGGGCCCAAGGGCACACCCGGGCGTGCAGACCCCGCCGGAGTAGGAGGGTGACAGAGCCTTCCTGTTACCTTCTGAGTTGCCTGCGATCCAAACTTTGTAGCCTGGAGAGGAAACAGAAGGGCGGACACACATTCTGCTGGGCTCACAGCGCTGTCCCAGGCCTGCCATGCCCCTGGGCACAGTGGTCCCCTGCAGTGGCTCCAAGGGCCCAGCCCACCAGCCCCCGCTGGAGGGCGGCTGAAGGGGGGTGGGGCACCCATACAGTCACTGGTCCAACTGGCCTCTGGGATGTGGGGCCCCCACTGGTGCCACCCCAATCCCACCTTCATGTGCCTTTCCCAGCCCAGCCGGCGCCACCCCCTCGATGCCCAGTTCCCTAATTACTATTCTAACAGGAGAGCAGAAAGCCTGGCCACACACGTTCGGCTGAAAGGCGCTCGGACCTCCCAGGCCGCAGCCCTCCTGAGCCAGCTGGACCACATGGCCAAGTGGGGGTGCCACAGGGGCTTCTCTCAGGGCCTCCCCAGCCCATTCAGTGACCCTCCCCTGCAGCCAGCCAGACGGTGCGGGCTGGCCGGGGACTCGGGACGCACTTACGCCCTCTTTAGCTGCTGAGGCGAACCTGCTGGCTCCGGTGGTGAGGCTGCTCCAGCCCTGGAGGGAAGCAGAGGCCACGTCAGGCCACACACGCTGCCCAGCTCGCACCGCACCATCTACTTCCGAAGGAGGCCTGACCATCTCAGAGTGATGTTACTGGCGGAAGAGCCCGGCTGGACCACGGATGGCCCCACGGGCCCACCCAAGCCCGCGCCTTAAGTCCCTCCTACAGCTCTCGATGCCCCACTGCTCTCTGAGGGGCGAGCCCAGGGCCCGGCAGACAGACCAGTCCTGGGGCGGGTGGGGCACTACACCTCTTCTCTTTTGACTCAGGTTTCCTCCTAAGCCTCCAAACCAACTCAAACTATTTAGAAAAATAGACATCTGACTTAAACCCGCCACAGCCTTCCGCTCCCGACGAAACACAGGGGGCTTGTGCGCAGGCGGCACACTCATTGGACAAGACCAACGCCCGCGGGTGCCGGGACGACGAAGACACAAAACCGGCGTTCTGGAGGGCGGGCATCTTTCTCCAAAGAAACGGCTGGCACCACAGGCCTGCTTCCCGCCCCGAGACCAGCTGAGCCTGGCGACAGGTGGTTTTAAACCACTTGCTGAGCAGCTCATTCCTTTGTGAGTACTGTGCTGGTCAGGGGGTGTCAAGGGGCAGAGCGAGCCTCCTGCCACGCCCGAGCCAGGACCCGGAAGCTCCCTGCGGCCGCTGCACACACACGGCACCACGGCCTGTGGTCGCCTGCCCACATCCCCTGTGCTTCCTCCGCTTGGCCCCCTAAGACCCTGTCCCACCAGCAGCAGAGCCCTCTCCTCCCAGCAAGGCCCTCAGGTGTGTGCAAGTATTCCTATCACATCGATGCTTTGATGGAGCAACTCCAATTTTTTAAAACAGTGACTATTTCTTTGGAATACAATAGTTCGACCAGAAGCAGCCTAGGCAGGTAGGAACCATGCTTGGCTGAGAGCCATCCCCGGCTTAGAGACTCTGCCACCAAACCTCATCTTTACTAGACTGGCCGGGAAAGCAGCATGAGGACCAACATGGGCTGGCCGGGCAGTGCCAGCACTTGCCCGGGAGAGACGGCCCGGCCCGTCAGATCCACCTTGTTAACTTGAAATGTATGTTTGCTGTCAAAGTGAGTGAGTGAGGACTTCTGGGATCTGGTGAGGGAGGGGGAGGGACCAGCACAGGCCGCCTGGGCAGGCGCCCCCTCCCGCCGGGCGCACTCACCGAGTACAGGGACGACATGGCGCTGTTGAGGAAATCGTCCTCCTTCTTCGGAGGTGGCACGGTGTTCCCAAACCCCACGTAGCGACTCTCCGGGGCCCTGGCAGGGAAACACAGCAGCCACCGCCCACTGGAGCCCCTGCTGCTGTGTCCAGCTGAGGAGCCCCACACGGAAAGGCCACGCCACAACCCAGGGCGCAGGAGCCATCCAACACGGCAAGGTGATGGCTCCAGGACCACCGCGATGGCCAGGCAGAGCCCACACAGACACGTTCTCCCTGAAGCATTAGAGCCCGCCCGCTCCAGACCCCATTCCGAGCGGGCTGGCCGGCCTCCTGAGCGGCCGCACCTCCAGCTCCCCACGCCTGGGCCTCACCCTTGGTAGGAGCTGAGGTCCTCATTCAGCCAGTCCTCAAAGGCCTTGTCCGAGGAGGCGGTCGAGCTCGGTGGCTGGCCAGAGGCCCTGAAATGGAGCCTACAGTTGGTGGGCCACCAGAGGGCAGCAGATGCCCGCTGGCACCACACGGGCCTCTGGGAGGTGCCGTCAGGACCACCTGGCCGCACCTGGGCTCCTCTACGAACAGCCAGGGAGGCCGAGGTGGACTCCAGCTCTATCCAGAAGTTAGCTCATGCAGCAGGGGAGCCAGTGCGGCCTTATGGACGACCTAACGATAGGGCAGCAGGTGGGAGGACCCTGGCACCCCGGGGTGAGTGGGGAGGCTTCTGAGACCAGTCACAACCAACACCAGCCTCTGATGTCTGAGATGCAAGGTGAGCACCTGCAGTCTGGAGGGTGGGCGACCCTCACAAAGGACAGGAGACATGTGTCCTACAGAACTGCATGCATGTCACGGGCACATTCTAGAAGGATCTGCACTGGGCTAGTGCCTGAAAAGTGTGCAGAGGGCAGGCTTTCTTTCAGACACATCTTCCCTGGTTGACAACAAAAGCTTGTACTGCTTTACTCCCGGAGAGCTGGTTTCCCACTGCTCTGGAACAGCGCACACTGTGCCGTCACCAGGACAGCACAAGGACCCTGAGCTAAGGTCAGGGACGGCAGAGAGCAGCGGCTACCGGTAGGCAGTGGATGGCAGTGTCTTGGACTGCGGCGGGGTCCAGTTCTGCGCAGGCGATGACTCCAAAGACCATTCTCTGCCTTCGGCCAGAGCTGCCACCTGCCGAGGGAACAGGGCTTAGAGCACAGGCCTAGGCCTGTGAGGGCCACTGCGGGCGGTGCTGTCCTCGTGGGCTCAGTGGCCATGGCAGGATCTCTGCCTGTGTGAACACTGAGGCCGGCCTCCCTCTGCAGTGGTGTGGGGAGTTCTTGGTCACCTCTGTCCCCCACAGGCTCCCCTGTCCTCAGGAGCATCTTCACAAAGATGGACAGAGGTGTGGGGGCCAGTTTCCCAGGGGTGGCAAGGAAGGCTCCTCCTTCACCCCTGCTAACCACACGCCACCTGCCTCCCTGGGTGGGGGGATACAGGGCGGACGTGGTCCAGACAGGGCCACACGCCCTCTGCACATGGACTGGAGTCACCAAAGTCTAATGGGAGCAGCCTGGGCACCACTCGTGGCCTCACCTTGTCCCTGAAGAGGGCGGCTGCTTTGCTGTTGTACTTGTCCTGCAGGGACCAGCAGGGGTCATAGTCCTCTTGAGACTCCAGGAATTGTTTGAACTTTGCATTCCCACCAGCTTTCATCTTCTCGAGCTCAATGTCCTTCCACTTATCCATAGTGACAGAGCGCACGAAGCTACAGGCCGAGGATCAAACTAGTTACCGAGTGCTTGGCGGTGAAGAGCCCCCCAAACTGTGGATCAGACACGTGTGCTTCCGTGACAGACGCGTCAGCCACGGAGCTACCGAGTGCGGTGCTGCGCCCTCGGGGCGCTGAGCGGCAGCGGGCAGGCACTGACCTGAGGTGCACTCCGAGCCCGCGGTGCTTCCCCGAGCACTCCAAGCAGATCCAGATCCCGTAGGTCACACTCACCCACTGAGGGTTGAACGCACCACACTCAAAACACACCTGTGGAGAGGGTCATGGGCAACTTGCCCAGGTGGCTCAGGGCGACCCCAGAGCCCAGGGACCCCAGAGACCCAATGGGTGGCCCCAAGAGGGAGCAGAGGAGAGCTGACTGGGAAGCCGACAGAGACAGGGAGGGCAAGCTCGGAGGCTGCAAGCCACTCCTAGGAGGTTCAAGAGCCCTGAACCAAAGCATCAGAAACAGACACTCACGTTGTTCCCATCCTGCACCCTGACTTCCTTAAGAGCCTTCCTGGTCCTTGGGCTGGCCATGATGCTGCGAAGAAGGAAAACGAACTTTTAATACTTACAAATAGGTCACAAAAAATCCACAGTCCGTGCAAAACGTTATAAAACACAGCTTCGGAGGAATTCCTCTAAGCCTCTCAGAAGCGACAGGATGAGACCTCTGCTCCTGCAGGCAGATGGCGCCACTCCAGAGCTGTCTCCACTCTAAGAAAGGCCAGGAACAGCTCGACTGCCTGGCCAAGGCAATGCAAGATTGGAAACAACACGGGCTTGCCCTCTGCTTAACCACCAGGTGCCACACTGGGTACGTTATGTGGAGTCCTGAACTGCTCACTAAAACCGACATACCAGACTGTGCTGACAGCCTTCAGACAGGGGGCCGCATGCTCTCCCCACCAGCCCCACGGGGGGCAGGGAGGCCCTGACTGATGCCAGGAGGCTGGCTTGCAGGAGGGTCTCAAGGTAGGTCTCTGTGGGGCCATCGTGAGGGATCAAGGTGACAGCATGGCCACAGTAGGGCAACCAGTCACCACATCTCACAAGGACACTGCTGGGGAACAACAGCCACACACTTGACTAGAAAGCCATTTCTTTTCTTTATTCTTTTAATCTTTATTGTTGAAAGGTATTCCAGATGTCCCCTTCTCCCCTCACTGGCCCTCTCCATCTCACCCCACCCTTTTTCTCTTTTTAAGTTTTTTAAAATTGATTTTTTAGAGAGAAGGGACAGGGAGAAATACAGGTGTGAGAGCAAGACATCTATTGGCTGCTTCCTACATACCCACTGCTGGGATCAAGCCTGCAACCCAGGCATGCGCCCAGACAGGGATTGTGCAGGCAGCCTTCTGGTGCAAAGGATGATGCCCAACCCACTGAGCTACACCGGCCAGGGCCAACCATTTGTTTCTTTGTAGCCCTTCTAGCTTTGGCAAAGTTCAGCCTCCACTGGTGGCCCACTGACTTCATGAGCAGGAAAATCAAAATGATAAAAAGATTCAAGCTGGAGGCATGAGGTGGGGGTCACGCACAGCTTTGGACATTAGTGATCCCCACAGGTCCTGTGTCCACCACCTGGGGTTGGGCCTGGATTCCAGGTCATCTCCACCGCCACCAGCCCCCTCTGAGTGTGTGGCCTCTCCGAAGATGGCCTTCTCTGGACTGGGAGTGGAACCTGTGAGCTGCCCAACTCACAAGGCAGCACACACTGCGAGAGAACACCCGAGGGTGTCCGTGTGAGCAGTGTGCTAGCCACGCTGCTCTGCGGGGGACGCTTCCACACCTCCAGCTCTCTGCCCTCACTGCTGCCAGCTCTCCGGGGAACAGCGCCGTGAAGCTTCAGTGGAGGCGCAGGGAAAAGCAAGAACAGAGGAAGCTCCATCCAAATTCCATCTTTACCCTGAACTACTCAAGGAGGGGAACCCTGTTCTCACACAGCCAAACCTAAGCCTGGAGACCAGGACTCTCATGTTCCTGAGTCCACTTCTAGGCCAGATAAAGTGAAGAAATAGAGATCTGTCTTCTGTAATTGATGGAAACAAACCAGACTTCACCCAGTTCTCTGTGCTGCTGTGCTGGTCCCTAGAAATGAGCAGATCTGAGGGCAAACACACCAAAGCACAGTCCTGCCCAGGACCGGCCCCCAGACTGAATCCTCCTGGGTGACAGGCAGTGGTGACAGGCAGAAACGGGCTGAGACTCCTGGAGAGAGGTGCTGGTGGGTCTGAATTTACAAAGCCCTTTGCAGACCCTCATCTCCCAGCAACCACAGGAGAGCCCGTGTGGTGTGGTGGGCAGAGCAGACCGCACACCTGCCGACACAGGTCCCCACACAACTCCAGTCTGGTCCACAGAATATGGGCAACAGAAGTCAGAACTGGGGGGAGCCTGCTCTGAATTCTCACTGTGTCAAATAAAGTGAAGTGAACATTTGCACAATCACTAAAGGGAAATTATGTGAAAAGGAAATTACTTAGCTTCAATTTAAAAGGAATCCCCCCAGTGGCAACTGATTTGAGATGTGAGAATCCTGATTTCTCTGAAATGCTAAGGTATTGTTGTTGTTTTTTGTTAATTCTCACTGGAGATTTCCCCATTGATTTTTAGATGCAGTGGAAGGGAGAAAGGGAGCGAGAAAGAGAGAAACATCGATGTGAGAGACATAAATTGATTGGTTGCCGCCCACATCCACCCAGACTAGGGCCGAGGATTGAACCTGCAACCCAGGTACATGCTATTGAGAAGGAATCAAACCCACAACCCTTGGGTGTGCAAACCAACGCTCTAACCACTGAATCACACAGGCCAACCTGAAATGCTGTTTAACATAAACACCTCCTCCCTTTTAAAACCTTAACTATGGCCTGGCTGGTGTGGCTCAGATGTGGCTCATCTTCCTCTTAACCAGGAGGTCTCAGTTAGATTCTGGTCTGGGCTGCAGGCTCCATCCCCAGTAGAGGGTATGCAGGAGACAACCATTAGTGATTCTCATCCCTGATGTTTCTCTCCCCCACTCCCTTCCTCCCTCTGAAATCAATAAAAACACGTTTAAAAGAAAAACTTTATTATTTATGATCCAAGAACTCCCATTTTTTACACTTGAAACCGGGATGGTCCAATGGACCTCTTTCTGCAACTGAATGTAAGCTGAACGCAGTGAGGACCCGGTTTCCTAGTTCATTAGGCAGTCAGACTGCAGAACGTTTGGTCTTATATTAGGACTTTCTCAACATCTGAGATCCCCAGGGATGACGAAAGGACACTGGTTGGCCCTCACGTCCGTGAGGGCTGTTACCCAGGTGACAGGTAGAAAGCACCCAAAGCGGCTCCATCTAAGAACAGCCCTTTCTCATTCCAATAGGCTTATTTCTCGGAAAGAGACGCCAAAACCAACCCAAGAGCCGGTTCTCGCGCCCATTAGGCACCATCAGCAGCAGGGCAGAAATATCAGGCCTGCACTAAACGAACACAATTGTGTCTCAGAGTTGGTGGTTTACAATGAGGTTACCAGGCCATCAGACAAGAAGCACAGTTCTCCATAAATCCACGTAAACCGGGGAATTAGAGTCCTCTCCTGGTCCCCGCCCCCAGACGATCGCCCACCGCAAAGGGCAAGAGAAGGGAACGAAAGTGCTCAGGCCGCCCTCCGGACTAGCCAGGCCCCCGACACCCCCTGGGAGACTCCGATTTAATGGACGTCCTGTAGAGGCCAGGTCCTGGGTCCGAGAGAGGGAGCTGGGGCCGGCCGGCGGGCTCAGGGTGGGAATGAAGGGCGGGGGCCTGGGGGCGGCTGCAGAAGAGGGGATGGCGGCCGGGGGCGTCGCGGAGCCGGGCTGGTGGGCGGGTGCGGGGGCTCGGGCTGCGCGCTTACCAGGCGGGTTCGATCCTGAGCACCGGGATCCGGCGGGGGTCGGCGGGGTCCGGCCGCAGTCAGGCGGCGAGCTGCACCGAGGACTCTCGCCCGCAGCCTACCCCGCCGCCACCAGCTTCCGGCTACGTTGCTCCTCGCAGAGCACCACGGGAAACCGGGGGCTGCTGGCAGGGGCGGGACTTCCGCCTCTACCCGCCAGGCCGGAAGCGCCTCCCAGGCTCCGTCGCCTTGGGGACGCGTCGCGGAAGTGAGCTGGAGACCCGCGCTGGCAGCGCCCAGTGCGCCCCGCAGACCCCGACGCCGCCGCGCCGCGCCGGGCAGGGCGGGGCGGGGCCAGCGGCCTGTGTCTGAAAGGATGGTCCTGCGGGCTTGGGTCCGCCTGCCATCCGTACCGCGGACACGGAAATGCTTGCGCGCGCACGATCAGATGCCGGCTCAAATTAGGGTGATCTGAGGATGGCTTATTTACGAAAGGACTAATTAGAAAGGTGTGGACGGGTTTAGGGGAACCTCAGGAATTGTGCAGGAAGCCTGGCCGGTGACGTCTGTAGGAAACGGGGACGTAGAGGTTCCCACACTCTGGAAGGAGTTTTCAGGACCGCTGTCACCTCATTGCCAGCGCAAAGTGACCAGCAGGAGAAGCTCGAAGAATAAATACCTGGCCTCTCTGACCTCTCGCCCTCTGATCTGATTTTGCCTCCCGTTGGCCGAGCCCATTGCTGTAGGGGAAGGTGGAGAGGGTAGCAGGGGGTGTGGAGCAACTGGAGAGAGGCAGAGACTGGAAGGGAGGGAGAGACAAAGCAGGCACATCTGACACAGACATTGTGAGCCAGCTGCAAAGCAGTGTGAATAGTGGGTCCCAAGTACCTTAGCATGTGACTGTGGAAAGGGAACTGTTCAGATTGATGATTTGGGGGGCGGGGAGGATAATTGCAAGTGATTTGTTTTGCTTTGACGTTATGCTGTCCTGTGCATTCCACATATTTTCACTCATCTATGTAACTTTTGGAGTGATCAAGTGTAAACATTATTACTGAGGCACAATTTATATTCAATAAAATGTACAGTTCAGTCATGGCTGGTAGGGCTCAGCTGGTTAGAGCATCATCCATGTTTCTTACATCAGTATTTGTTTGTTTTTCTTTCTCCCTTCCTCTTGCTCTAAAATCAATAAAAAGTTTTAAAAAAGATTTTAAAAAATAAAATGTTCAGTAAGTTTTGACAAATGCATATCCCATTGTAACCTCCACCAGAGGCAACCACCGTGCTCAGTTCTCAGACCTTAGTTTTGTCTGTTTGAGAACTTCGTGTAAATGGAATCACACAATAAGTGGCCTTTTGTGTGGCTCTTTTGCTGAGCATCATGTATTCAAGGCTCATCTATGTTGTAACATGAAACAGGGCCCTTCATTCCTTTTTATTGGTGAGTAAATGAATAGACCACTTTATCTATTTACATAATGGATACTGGAGTCATTTCTAAGTTTGGTGATAATGAATAGCTGCCCTGAAACTCATGCACAAGTCTTTTTGTGGGGCATATGTTTATTTCTCTTGTTTAATTACTTAGGAGTAAAATTGCTGGGCAATGGAGTAGGTATATGTTGAACCTTACAAGAAATTGACAGTTTTCCACCACAAAGATGATCACATTACTATAACAGAAAATTAATGGATTGCTGGCAGTAGACAAAAACACATTATCTACACTTCCCCCAAAGGTCTGAGAGTTCCAGTTGCTCCACATATTTGTCAGCAGTCAATGTTGTCAGTCTTTTTATTGAAGCCACAAAGTGGCATCTCATTGCAGTTTAATTTGCTTTTACCTGTGGGGTTAGTGATGCCCTAAGCGCTTGTCTGGACTCCCGGGCATTTCCAGCCTGCCCTGTTCCAGCTGAGCATGAGCCGCCCTCCTTCTGTGGGAGCTACCTTCAGGGAAGAGTCGCCAGTTCCTGCAGTAAGAAGCCACTGGCATTCCCAGCAATGATGAGCTGAGGCGATGGGGGTGAGGCACCAACGAGGTCTGTACAGGTGGGAATATGAGACTGTAGATTTCAGATCCAGTAGTTTGGCCTGTGTAGACTCCATGAGTTGAGAGAGTCAGATGTGAGTGCTGGGTCAATTACAGTGGGCTTCCTGGAGGAGGCAGGCTGTGGAGAGTGAGACATGGCAGAGGAAGAGAGAAAAAGGGAAGGAGTTCCTGGAACGAGCACAGCTATAGCCAGCATTTTACACTGACAAGACAAAACAACCAGTGGAGGCTGAATTTTCCGTTTTCCGATCATAAAGCAAAGTTAACCTTGCACTCCACGCCGGGATTATGGGAGGTTTGGGGCCACATTCACCCACTCAGAGCGAGGCCCACGTCTCCAGAGCCAGAAGGGGGTCCTTCCAAATACAAAGCAAGCCGTCACCTCCAGCCTCTGCCTCTCTCTGTGACCCTCTGATGTATGATGACTGTGTCACAGAGGATGTGACACGCTCTGACAAAGGCAGAGTCTGGCAATAAAGTGAGAGCAGTGCAGCAGAGTATGCATCTGCAAACTGGAAGCATTTTATTACTCCATCTACAATATGGAGATAATGTCTAAGAACTGCCAGCAATTCATTAATTTTCTGCTATAGTGATGTGGTCATCTTTGTGGTTCCTCCCTGGGCTCTGGAAGTTCTCGATGCGAAGGAAATTCATGGGAGGGGAAAGGAAAGCCTCAGGGTCACTGGCTGTGCAGAGCTGGAGAGCTCCTGACACCAGAGGGCCACAGCCAGGTGGCAGCTGCGATTGGCAAAGTCGCTATGGGATTGGTGAAAATCTTCCCTATCTGTGAAAAGAGGTATCCATTCCTCTTTCAGGCGGGGAGCCCACACTCCTGAGCACCTGCCATAAGTCAGGCCTTTGGCTCGATAAAGATGATCTCATTTAAACCGCACGCCAGCCCTGCGCACTCTGAGAGGAAACCACTGCTCATGTGAAGAGACCTCGGCCCACAGCAATGAAGTAATTTGCCCAAGGTCAAAGGGTCATCAGTAGCGGAGCTGAGGTTTGCACCCAGCTTTTGCACAGTCCTTAGAGCAGGAGGAGGGCGTGTGGAGGTAGGACATGGGAAGGGGGGGAGGGAGTCGTCATGTTCTCTGATCTGGAAACCCAGCACCAGGCTCAGAGTTAGAACCACAGCAGTTTTGTCCATGCACGTATAAAAAAAAAAAAAAAAAAAAAAAAAAAAAAAAAAGGCTGTGGGCTTGGGCACTGGTTGTGAATGGCTCCATGGGCCCCACAGCCTGGCCAACTGGCTCTGGCAGGGGTGGCAGAGCCCAAAGAAATAGTTGGAACTACAGGGCTGGACCTGCCCATACTGGTTCTCCCAAAACAACACACAGATGGTTCCACACTTTTCCCACCACTGGGCACCTTGCGAGGCAGGCACTTCTTCCCCACCAGTCTCTACAATGGGACTACAAGTTATAGTTTCTCTAGCTGGCCTCCGTGGCAGCTCGGGGCTCTGTTGTCACTATTACCATTACTTTGCTTCACCATAATTGTGTACAATGGTGTCTCTGCACTCACATGAGTATGTCAGGACATAGACATCTAGAAATGCGAATACTGGATAAATTCTGATCAATTTGATTAAATTGCTCCCCAAATCGTGGTGTACCAAATGCCCTGAGTGCATACAGCTATTCCAATGGCCTCTCCCTTGCTGGGAATTACCAAGTTGTTCGTCATTGCTGGAGTAATTTTCATGTCCTTGATGGTGGCAGGCAGCGCACACATGCACAGGACAGTGTGAGGCCTCCTGAGGTCCCTGGTTTGCCTTCTGCCTATTGTCCTCCACTGATCACCCTCCACCTCCAGGTCCTTCCTGAAGCGGCTTCTTCCTGTGTCTGGAGAGAAGAGCATGGGCTTGGTTTAGGTCTGCCCAGCCCGCTGCCCCACTCCTGGCCTCTGGCCTGCTGGCTGCTTGGACTCAGCAGGTGACCTCCTGCTGCTCTGCTGATGCACAGGAAGAAATGGGGCCAGGACAAAAGGAAACAGAAGGAAGGTCGGAACACAGGGCCCTCTTAATTTGAGAGACCACACATCCCACAGAAATGCAACTGTCCCTGACAATCTGAGCTATCATTCTATCCCAGAATCCCCAGGAGCTGGCAGCTGTGCTAGAGGACACTCAGTCACACAGGCCAAGGAGTCAAGGCTAAGAGTATATAGAGACTGGGCCAGCTTCTCAGATTGCCAACCTGACAGCTCAGATCCTAGGACCATGACAGTTAAGGATCCACACACCCAGGGCTGTAGCCCAAGGGTGGGACCCTTGTTTCTGCCCAGGGCCATTTGGATATGTCCAACATCATTCATGAGCCATACAAAATGATCAACTTAAAAATTAGCCTGCTAACCGAGACCGGTTTGGCTCAGTGGATAAAGCTTCGGCCTGCGGACTGCAAGGTCCCAGGTTCGATTCCGGTCAAGGACACGTACCTGGGTTGTGGGCACATCTCCAGTAGGGGGTGTGCAAGAGGCAGCTGATAGATGATTCTCTCTCATGGATGTTTCTAACTCTCTATGCTTTACCTTTCTCTCTGTAAAAAAACAATAAAATATATATTTTTAAAAGAATATAATCTTGGGGGGGCAATGATAAAATATGTACACAGATAATAACTTAATAAAAAAATAAATTTTAAAAAAAGAATATAATCTTTTTTAAAAAAAATTAGCCTGCTATATTTGGTCAAACATTTAATGAACTCACCCCTAATGCCTTGGCAGGGCCAGACCAAGTGATTTCATGGGCCACACAATATCCACTCCTGCCTTAGCCCCTCCCATGCCTATCTTAGCCAGGAATCTTTTCAGACTAGTTGCTAGGGTCAGAAAATCCAACCCTAAATTGCTTAAAAGGAAGTCATTGATTCATGTGATGAAAAGCCCAATGGTAAGCTGGCTTTGAGGTGAGGCTTGGTTCAGCAGCTCCAGAATACTGCCAAGAGAGAGATTAAAAATGGCAGCAGAGTAAGTGGATGCTGCACAGTCATGCTCCCAGGAACAAACTAGAATTGCAACTAAAATACAGAAAACTTCCTGGATAATTAATGGAAGACTTGCTGGAGAGAACCCTGATAACTGAGGACAGAAAGTGGAGACCTCATAGAAACTGGA